GCAATAAACTACAGGGTCTGATCTCAGTTCTTGGAATGACATTGCGATTTGGAAATATATATTGTATGAATCAAAATATATATTGTATGAATTAAGAGTAAAATTGCAATGGGAATATATTTGGGAAAGAGTCGTGTGCATTTATGAGAATGAAATCTTTCGGTATGTGTTTACTTCATTCAATATATATGTAAACTGTAAGTACACAAGGTTGTATTTCAAGAATGTGTACCATTTGTTGAAAGTTTTTATGCAGATTGTAATGACAACATTAAGAGGGAAGATTTTAGAAAGTGTATATGTAGATAAGAAAATTATCGTAACTTTATAGATATTTAATTGAACAAAAGTTGGTTTAAACAATTCTAAATATTACCTTTTATATATTTTATCTATATTTCTAAAGTAATGTACATATAATGGAAAGTGAATCTAGCGATATATTGAATGGGAAATAAATAACGTTTTGAAAGGCTTTATTGATCATACAACTTCTGTATCCACGTGTCTAAGTTATGCAATGGCGCACCACCATCTGTCGTCCATCTGTTTATTATCCATAGACAGCTGGTCATTTATGTTCACCTGTGTGTTGTTTGTTCAGTATTCATGATTGCAGGTGTTAGGCACTGCTGTTGGACTTTAAGTCCTCAGAGTTTGACATAGTTTGCATATCAGATTTTAATTCATTAAAATAGTGACACGATTTAGAATATACATATTTATTTGACGTTATTCTAAATTAACCAGATATTTAGAAATTATGCCATTCATTTAAACATGGGAACATTGCTTCTGCTCATAAAGAGTTTAACTTTCCTTTCAATCATTCGTTTCCTAGACTTTAAAATTTAGGCCCATGGCACCATAGGCGAAAATGTGCCATTCACTTGTGTGTCTACTGTACAGTTTCATACAATCACACTAGGAAGCACCGTTTCTTGCCCTCTGTTCCTCACTTTTCAATACATGCTTATTCACGCACCTGTGGTTGTCTATGCCTCTAACATATGGTTTAATAGTGTTAATATTGGTGATAAGAAGCTGTGATAAGGTTTGCTTAAATAACTGAACGAGCAGCTAGCAATAAAACGCTGTTTATATTCTTGTTCATACCAGAATTCGAATACAAATGAGGAAGTTTGCAATCTGAATGCGTTCTATATTGAATCAAGATTAGCTAGTATTTCTGCCTTGGTAAGGTTGGGTCAAATGAAAGTTGGGTTTCCTTCGTTATCGATTAAATCATGTTCTTTCCGCATGCAGAAAATTTGTGCTGGAAAGATTAACCCATTAGATACATTATCTGACGGTACAACAACTTATCTATCATCCTAATCTTAAAGCATGTTTATAACATGATGCGGAAGGAGTTTTTTCATCTTAGATTTCAAACTGTTTCAAAACAACATGGCCAGTTTTCCACGGAATTAATAAGAGTACTTAAATTCATATTCAAATTAATGAGCAGTGTTTCACAATAGTTGATTCCTTCATGCAAAAGATCTCATGGCTTAAAACTTTGTTTGGATAATGTGCAAATAGTCAATTACTATGTGCTCTGTTACAATGTGGAGTAGAACAGGAAACTCGAAAAAGATAATTAATCGACTAGTATTGGAAATAAACCACGTAATATATTGAAACTGTTAATATGACAACTTTCACTGGAAGGGCTGGGACAGATATGGAGAGTAACCGACAATCTTGTGGATAAGAAATAAATATGACTGACCTGTTTTAATTTCTAACAGAACAAATATTATATGTGGCAAACTTTACAAGTACTTTTTAAAGTCTTAGTTACAATGTGTATATTGTACTTGGTTTACTTACTTTTCAACACTAGCTTACTAATATTATTTGTATCTCGCTATACACATCAGAAATATATTGAACAATTAAGATAACCAATATCAATCTCAGCCTTCAACGTCACAAAACACGAGCGCCAATATTATGTATTATCATTGTCGCAAAGTGCCATTCGATGCTAAATAGAATAACACGTGATCAGATGTCGACCCAACAGCATCTGGTTCTAAACTGAAAATGTAATAAAATGCAAAATCAACGTATAATTTTTACATACATTTCTATTAAATTATTGTAATTCACTAAAAAAATATGAACAACTTTTACTATTGGTTTTATGTTCAATGCGACATACTCTTTATCATAAAAAACAACTTTATTTAAAATTGCAATAACTGTATCTGAGGGATATGTCTCAGCTTTTTTGAATACCCAAAATTCTTTGTAACTTTCGCAGCATGCTTTGTGTCTAGTTTTTTTTTTTTTTCATTTAAAATGATTGATACCTTGATGATATGCAAACAAATAACAAAAGCAAAAAAATGTCAAAATCTTAATTTTCAATTTGAGTTGATAGTCTCAAGTCTCCAGAGCAATCAAATATTGTAATTTTAAAACAAAATGCTTAAATCGTTTATTTGACGATGTTCTGAAATTTACTCTTTTTCAAGACTTTATGCTTTGATAGAAAAAAAATGCTTGGGAACAGTTTTCAAATGGGTTGCTGTGGTTAGTTGTTCTGTAATTGTGCTATTAACTATAGTGCCTGTTATACAATCTTGAATCGCATTATATATATATACTGAGTCACCATAGCAATACATATCATAGAAATTATAAAAATATGTGTCAGTCCGGTTTAATGGTATCTGGTAGACGTGTCAAAGATAGTGTTTATGATTAATAACAATATTTCTACCAACACTTTGTTGGCATATGTTGTTCTAGTCGAAATGTACATTATTGATTAAAATCTATAGAGCTTCGAAAAAGTGTCGAACACTACATCTAGAGATAATATTTTGTTTTATTGCTACAGATATTAGAATACAGACATTGGATTGGTCAGTGATATAATGCTAATTTCTATGATGAACGTGTTTAAATTCTACATACATTGAATCAGCGAAATACTGAAACAGATGCCACTAAAATAGCCACTCATTTTTTCCATTATTGGACTGAATTGATAGAAAAGCCAATGTCGAAGGTAAGACCTTATTCTTATTGATAACCGTGAAAGGACCTACTATATCTTAAATGAATTCCAATATCTAGTTAGCTTATGTGTTCTATTGAATAGAGTTTTTTATCTGTCACCAATCTGACGCATTACCTCGTCAAATCAAAGTATTATAACACTGATGTTTAACACATACGTTTGAAATAAGTAAACGTTTGTTCAGCAAATACAGGAATATCAGCTCTCTTTGCATCTACTCAACCTTCATTTCATTATCTACCGAACTCAGTGGAAGTGTTCATATATTTTAAATAAAGTGACGTACAGTTCACGTAAAAGGAAAACACTGGTTGGACATTTAAAAAAAAAATGCTCATAAACTATATCATGAATTGAAAGGATACCTGTATCTTTTAAAAACTTATTATAATTACTCTTAGAACTATTGATAGCATCAAACTATTTCTCCTTTGGTCAGTTTGGACAAGCGAATTTGGTGGGAATATTCTCACCAAACCGTCTAAATACAGCAAATCAGGAAATCCAGAATTACAATTGTATTACTTCATTACACTTATTTTCTGATGTTTCATAATTTACACAAAAATATAGTTTTGTTTTGCTACATCATTGCAAACCTGTTACGACGCAATCAGGACCGTGTGAGCGTTTGTAAATCAATCTAGCAAGATCTATAATGAATTTCCGCAAATTACATACCGTATGTTTATTTAGATAATGAACTGAGATGGAAGTAGATGATTTTGTACAGTTTTCTTCAAAAGCATCCTATCCATGTCTAACTTGTGCGGAATATTCCTTTAACTTGGTAAAAACATCAACATAACTTTGCTAGATATATCTTGTCTATTGATGTCTATAAATGGTTACAAGATGTGTCCCTTTACAACAATCAGCAATGAACGAATATTGCGTTCGGAGCAACAAAGACGGATACCTTCTCCATAATGTATTGAGTTATGTATCGTAAAGTACAAATAAGGATTTCGAAATATTATACATAAGTCATGAAGTGATTAGCATAATCAAAATAAATCATACGAAAAGAGACTACATCTGCATTTCAATAGTAACGAAGTCAAATTAGGTTGTATATTAAGCTGTTTTATATGTAATTAATGACATATGAAATGTATATTGAAAACTGATACGTGACTGTAATGTGATAACAGATTCATGAACTGTGTACTGTTTAGATAAACTGTATACTGTTATAATAGATAATATGTTTCAAAACTATATTCCTGCGGATATTGTGATAATAGTATTTACCATAAATCGTAATTTGATTGCAGGGATGTTGCGTACCGACAAATTCAAAACTCTCTGATGTTATCATAAAATGTGTGAGCTGAGAAGGAAAAAAATAGTAATTTTCACCGCTTCAAGAAAATGAATTTATCTTCTACCTTACTTTTACTTTGTGAATTTAAAAATGTGTATATTTAAACCAAAATCACTGTTGATGAAGTACCTTTAATAAAAATAAATTGGGAATGAACTGATATCAATCGCTATATTTGGCGATATCGCATACTTGCATTGTTACATTAATTTCGTAAATCATACTAAAAATCGCAATTGCCGTGAGCTTGTCTGAGTTCAATGCCGAGTCAGCGAAGACGTTAAATTTAATGGTCGCAAACATAAACCGGCTTACACTTTTCATTTGGAGATATTTACAGTCGTACCTCGGTATCTTGAATTCGGTGGGACCGTGAGAAATCTTCGATTTTCGATTTCAGTTCGAGTATTTAGTGTGAAGTTTGGCAGGGGCCGACGAAACAAATTAAATCATACACAGTCTTCGAGTTTAAAGAGTTCATGTTAAAGACGTTCAACTGTATTTCAATTCTCAATCATTAAAAATCAATTCAGTTGAATAATCAAAACGTTTTGGTTTCTTCATTAGCATAATGGTTTTTTGAATGGTTCGGCAAAGTAATTCCAAAGCATTGCTTTATTAACCATTTTTTAGATAATGGAAGACAGTGATATCCAAATAGTTGATGTCAGAGGTTCTCATACAGACTACATCAAACAGCAGGTGAACCAACAAACAAAACTGGTAAGACGATCATAGAATTTATCAGCATTTCAAACCGTAGCTGAGTTGGCTGATAACAGAAGAACTTTCCTATAAATGTTTCTGGCGGGAACAAATGTCGTTTAATAATGGAGAAGATTTGATTTCCCATCAAGTTAAGTACAGTGTATTTCATATAAAGATAAGGGAACATGTTTGCATATTTGTTTACTTTATACTATATGTTACTGCTTGACATACATAGATATCGAAAAAAGACAGTAAAATGCTTAAAGTTATTCCTGTTAGTTGGATAGGTTTCATTCACCTTATTGCTTAGCTGTGAACTGAATATACAAATTCCTATCGTGATACATATACCGATCATGTCATCGCATCCCAAAAACATAATCAAATAACATACTTTTATCTGATATTTTCTAACATTCAAACATTGACGTCGCTTCGACAAGCTGGCTTCTTTGTACATTGTCATGAAATTACAATTAGGCCAATATTTTTACTGTCACATCTTTTTTCATCGTAATGAAAAATCTGTATATAATATCAAATTTCATTCCGTGCATTAGTGTAGTGTTTCAATCATTTGTATTAAAAATTAGGTTACCGTGACTGAAGATAATCGTTTGTTTTACTCATTTTCTTATTTCCCTGGAATTACTTTTAGTTTTCAAATTGAGTTAAACTTCATCATTTGGTATAAATGTGTGTTAGGACCTTTAGGTATACCATTAAAAGTCATGGAATATTTAACGGCATCCCTTTTTCTTCTCTTTTATACACATCGACGTACTTTACATTACAAATATAGAGACTCTTTTCTTCATTCGGCTGTAAATCTTTGGAATTCCCTACCTGTGCATGTTAAAGAAAACTTTATACTTTATACTCTGAAGAATTACTTAAATGGCCTTAATTCCAATATTCCAGGATATTTCTATGTTGGTTCTAGACGAGGACAAATTTATCATTCCAGATTACGAATGCAATGTAGTTCACGTAAGGGTCATATTTTCAGTAAAAATCTAGTGGATAGTCCTATATGTGATTGTGGTATGGGAAACGAAACAACCGAACATTTCTTTTTATCTTGTTCTAATCATAACAGATGTAGACATCTTTTTCTTTCTCATCTTCTTCCCATTGAATCTGTAGACGTCCTTCTTTTTGGCGATACATTTATATCATTTGCAGAAAATGAAGCTATATTTGTTAGTGTCCACACTTTCATATTAAAGACTAAACGATTTGAGCATTAGGAAGAGTTACTGCCAACACTACTGTACTCCTTCCATATACGCGAAACTTTTTACTTTCATGAGTTTTTGTATATCTGTATTAACTAAAAGTACAGCAGTTTGTAGTACTACATGTATAATTAACAATTTATTAAGATACCCATATGTTACTCTGGATGAACTTGCATTCCTTATCATATTGTATTTGTCGATCTTACATAATGTATACATACTATACTACTCATTCTATCCACTTTCCTTACTTCATTTCCCTCTCCTAAACTCTTTTCACTTTCCCTTTCCCAAATTCGATCAGTCGCTGCCTGCTTGTTACTTCTAAGGAGACAGATTAACATAAGTTTATAACTTCTTTCTGAATCCTTTTTGTATAACATCCTTTGAATGAAATGCCATTGCCAAAATAAAATAAAGTTTAAAACAAATATAGAGACAATTAGTTTTGTCTAGTATGACTTCATTGGCACAGGGAGTAGATGACCCACTAGCTATCTATGATATTGACGAGGTGGTGGAGAGGTACAGAAAATGGTACAAGCTGCTTCCAAGGGTGGAACTATTCTACGGTAATGTTATTTTCAATTAACTTGTAAACAACGTTTTCGGTTCAAATATCGCTTAACTATTTCCATTTTCGTAATAGCTACACTTACATTGGAATAAAAATAATATTTATCTCCTACATTTTAACAATATATATTAAAATTGCAATAAACGAGAAACGACATTTAACAAAATTGAAGACATTGACAATATAATTAGAAGAGGCATCTCCTCAAATCAAAACTTTCAACTCTTTTTTTTCAATAGCTCTGAAGTGCAACAATGATAAGAACATCGTGGATATCTTAGTAACACTGGGAAGCAGTTTTGACTGTGCCAGCAAGGTATTGCTTTTTATTCCGATCATAACTGATGACCACAGAACATCTTATTAAATCATGATCTACTTGAAAGCACTGTATAACAGTAAATTTTCCTTGTCGATCTTATTGTTTACTTTGAAAGAAACAAGTTATACCACAGCATATACAAACAGACAGGGCTTGCAATGAACGAAGTCACAATATCTTTTTATTCGTCCTTTTGATTCCCTTGTACAAAATGTTTTAGAGATACGTTTAACAAAAACCCATAGGACCTTAGAATTTAAATGCTTTATATCATGTGATATATTTGTCTGACTTATTCTGGCATCAAAAACACGTAACACAAGTATTTTAACCAATGGAAATCATCGATATTTACACGTCATTGAAACTGAAACGAAAAAGACATGAAAACTAGATAAGATGTGAACATATTTCTATAACCATTTGATCCAAGTTGGTGGGGCCTCCCTAAAGATTATTTTAGAGATATACAAGTGAAAAGCACTTTTTAAATATAACTTGTATATACAGAATAAGTATGTACAACTGACTGATCTTTCTAGGACTCGTTAGTGATTTTATTTTATTTATTTATTATTATTTTTTTTGTTTTTTGTATTCTGAAAGGCGACTTGAGAAAAATCCAAATCGGTCGAAGTAAGTGTCAAAAAACTAGGTGAGGTTATCACTAGCTCAAAGGTTATAAACATTTTGTTCGTTTCCAGGGCGAGATTCAACAGATACTTGAATTAGGAGTTGATCCCTCTCGTATCATCTATGCCAATCCAATTAAACAAAACACACATCTTACCTATGCCAAACAGCACAATGTTGACCTGATGACCTTTGACAGTGAAGAGGAATTGATCAAGATCAAGTTATTACATGGATCCGCAAGGCAAGTTGTTGCATAAATTATTTTGGTAACAGCTCAAGAACAGATCTTCACTGCACTACACCTTGACTAAATAAATATGTTTCCGGTTGCGGAGAAGGAGTTTTCGGAATTTCAGTGTTGTATAATTGGCATAATAGTATGGAAGTATTATATCATATGACAGGTTTGCATGAAAGAAATACACTGTTTCGACGTTGTTTGAAAGTATTACACAATGTTACGGGTTTGTACGAAAATGTCATACTTTGTCACTTTGGTACGGGTTGGTATTGAAGTATTGCTCTATATTACGGAATTGTATGAACATATTGCACTATACATGTGTTACGGGTCAGTATAAAAGGAAGGCGTCAGTGCGTACGGCTAACTAAACGACATTATCATGTGTATGGTTACTGATGAAGACAAAACTCGGAAAGGTGAAGTAAAATTTAATGTGAAATTATTAACTATGTTACGTATTTGTATAAAGAATGAACACTTTATTACAGGTTTGTGCGAAAGTATTTCACTGTGCTCCGGATTTGTATAAAGTATCACACTATATTACAGATTGCTGTTACGATTTCGACCAACACAAAAATATGAAGCGCATTATGATTTGGGACAGAAATTCGGTTGCAATTTCAATGAAGCAAGGGACTTACTCATATCTGCAAAAGAAATAGGCTTAGAAATCATTGGTGTGAGGTAAGTGTTTAAATGAAAAGTGAATAAAATAGGAGATTAATATGATAAATACTTTTCAGTGTCATGTTTTACGGCATTTTATGGTTTTTAGTAATTTAAAACATGGTTTATGAACCAAAATTGATGTATACAGGTCTCACCATCTTTTATCAAATTAAAGACATACTCCCGGCAAATACAATAAGTTTCGTAATGATCTAACCATCCAAGTGTACGGCTTTAACATGATAACTTTCGGAGATTAGGATGTTATCTAGCCATGCAACTAGCTGTAACCAGTTCTAGGTTAATCGCCTAGCCTTTCTTACGGACCAATTCTAAGCCATACTTCTACATACCTATACTATGCGTTATAACCACGTGATATGTTAAAGACTATGACTTGATAAACTGGCTTCGCCACTTTCATTAAGGACAGTTAGCTGTACTGTCGTACCCACCATTCTCTCCCATTCAAGCCACTTTAACATTTGTTCTTGGTATTCTCAATCGGGGCCTTATCACTTCGGTGTAACTTAGGTCCTGCCCACAATTCTTCACAGGAGGAACTGCACCACATTTATATGTAAGGCTGCTTCCTGGAACCTCGTAAACCCGTTACTCAACCTGAACTAGAATCTACCTGGGCACAGCTCTGTTCTGCCATAGACCCACCGGAATTACGACATACGTCATGGCCGGCATAGGTCATGTGCAGTGAATGAGAGCTAGTACCCTTGTTGTGGCCAAGGTTATATAATTAAATCCTTTAAATCTAACTCCTTTGCTTGTTGTTTCATATACCGGGATAAAATATCCCATATCTTTACTGCTTTACCTGGAGGCGTAAGTAGTCCAATTTTCATATAATTCCATGTTTTAGTTTCCATGTTGGAAGTGACTGTCTCAGTACAGAAGCTTTTTCATCGTCGATCAAGGAAGCAAGGAAAATATTTGATATAGGACTACAGGTCGGCTGTGCCATGAAGATCCTCGACATTGGAGGAGGATACCGGGGAAGAGATGTTGAAAGCCCGACTATTGAAGAGGTACGGAAGAAAGGTTTACTGTTTAATAGTTAAGTATAATGTACAAATCAACATAACATCAATTGCATGTATCAATATAGACAGTAATGAATTGGTACAATGTCTCTACTGATTTAAACAGGATGTCATTTGTTTTACATCGGGTTCATAATATACAGATACAGCTCACTATACAACATGAAAATAACTGGCCTGGAAGAATCGTTATACAAACTGTAAGGATGAAACATCTGAATGATGAGGTTAGGTACATATGAAATGCGTCTTTTGCACAGTCCTTGGTAACCTGTGATGGTATATGATAACATTTAGCTTTGCGGAGTACTGAGGCTCGCATACATCACTTATTTACTCTTCAATAAAGGTGGAAACATGTTAAGGTTAAACACGTGTTTTCTGATAGCTAAAACTACAGAATTTTTGTAACCATATTATACTCACGTCCTCCCATTTCGCCATATTATTGTCACGTTTCTTTCTTGATTTTTGGCCTTTGCCATCACTGCTAAAATTCCGATTTCAGTATTTTTAGGCGTCAAATGTTGGGAAATGTATTGCGAAGCTTATATCTATTTAGAATAAATCAATTTTCATGCTATGAATAGAATTTAAATTGACTAACGCGGAACTACTATTTACAAACAAACATATATCGTCTAGTAATACGTTAAGGGTTTCTTTATCTATGATTATTCAGTTGTAAGAAAACTGGCATTCGTCAGTAGGCCTATTTGTAAACTACATGTTAACCATAGAGTTATTATTGGAAGAATTGGGTAACGGTGAGAAATTTCAAAGTATACATACAAAGCATCTTCATGTTTCTTTCGTCATACTGACGAGTATTTTGTCATTGTGCAGCACGGTGTACAATGGCATTCTACGTTTAGATTATATTTCATTTGTCATAAAGAATGCAGACATCATTAACCAGTGTCTGGAGGAGTATTTCCCGGAAACAGAGGGGGTGAAAATTATCGCTGAGCCAGGACGCTACCTTGTGACATCTGCTGCTAGTATTGCAGCACATATTATAGGGCGAAAGCTTGTTTATAACAAAGGTAAGTGAAATAAATGCGGCGTGTTTCGTTGATAAATGCCCGCCGCGATAGTTCACATTTGAGAGAAATTCAATAGTTAGTTTGTGCACGATCTATGCGTCTAACCATTCGTGACAAACAGGTCATGTTTCCTAATTTGATATATAAGTATAGTTTGTATATATGTATAGATAAAGGTTCAATGATCACTTTCACCACTTTTGATTTTAACAAAGACTGAAAATTCTGGATTCCGAGACCCCGACTTCGGAAATGTAACATTACTTAGATTGATCATGATTAATATGGCAAGTGTTGTCGATGAAGCAGAAGACGCTTACCCCTCCAGAACACCTGGTCTACTTCTCTTTGTGCTTTTTAGGTGTCCCTTTGCAAATATTTCTTTACTTCATATTCTGCCCTAGTTTTATTCAATTTGAGTGTGGATTATGATTATATTGACATGTTGGTATTTTCGTGGGTTTTTTTTTTTTTTTTTTTTTGGTTTTTTTTCGGTTTTTTGTTTTTGTTTTCGTTTTTGTTTTTTTTTTTTTTTGGTTTGGTTTTTTTTTTTTGTTAGCTAGTTAAATTGTAAAGATGATTTGTAACCATGTGATGGTGATGCACACTTGTTCCATCGAAAGGCGATTGCCTAAAACAACATAGACTGAAAACTATGTATAAAGTGTGCATTCAGTTTGATAATATTGTGTACTTAATGAATGACAAATCCTCTTATGATCGTGTATGATGTAAATATTAAGGAAATACTGGCCTGTCAAAAGAGTTAAAACTCAAATCGATAAAACTGGAGTAAAATAAATCACAAAAACAATACTTTGTACTTTTTGATACGTTACAAATGGCGGAACACAGTATAAATCACAAATGCCGAAACAAAAAAACCAATCCTCCAAAATAAAGTTTAGTGAAAGGTTGGATTAGCCAATATGTAATGGAAATATCAAAATTTTGAATCAAACTATCAAAGATTTTCCACGAGTGTCAATATGCATGTAATTTCAGATAGAACTAATATTGAGCACGTTATGTACTACATCAATGAAGGAAAGTATGGATCGTTTTGTCGGTTAGTTGCAATCAATGATGAATTTGAAATGTCACCGGTTACTCAACAGGTATGTATCTAAGGATTCTTATATATACCTTAAACATTTATTTCTAAGAATCCATTTCTAGTAAATGTTGTTCTGTGCACTTAGTAAAAGCTAAAACATTAGAAGCGATGGATACATACTTCCACATATCGGTTTTGTGAGTTACCATATACCTGTATCCAGAAAATGAATGACTAGTCTCGGTGTAAGACAATGTTATCATTTCTTTCTTTACTTAATTAGAGTTAAAGATATCAATTATGCAACATTCCTTCGTATTAAGTTTTAAAAAAAAGAAAAGCCAGAAAAACACACAAATATTAGTTATATTATAATCATTATTTATTGTCTTTGTATATATGCATCTTTCAATTACAACCTTAAGCAGTTCATCAGGGGATAGATTACTTTTGCACAATGTATATTTGTGAGTTACTTCTGGTGCAAAAAAAAATGTATAATACAATGAAGCGGTTTGGTATGATAAAAAAAAATAGACAATGTATCGGTATTCACCATAATAATAGTCAAATATTTATCATGATGAGAAATAGTGCGTTTGTCATGTTTGGCCTGTTGAAAAGTACTTAGCCATTTCTGTATTTAGTATATATATATATGTATATGGACACTTTTTTAAGTGTTACATGTTGACTGTAATTGCAACTGTTAACTGTTGGGGGGGGGGGGGATAATTATGAATGTTTTCCCTTATTAAAAGTATCACATTGCTTGCTTCATATATTTAGAATGAAAAAGTAACTGCTTTTTTATACACTGTTACAATTTATTTTCAAAATTACACTCGCCTACGCCAGTTATCTGCTATTTTGTTAGTCACCACTGTCACTCACCCTCGTGTTGTACAAAGAGGTCCATTACAAATAGATGCAATAATGACTAATAATTTCTGCAGTTTTTTTAACTATCTACATACGAGAAAAAAATAAGAATACAAATAGGGGCCCCACCATTAGGCCCATGGTATTGCTGACGAGACCTAGATGGACGTCGCAGCTATATGATATCATTTAAGACATTTTGACTCTACTTACCTAATTCAAAGTTTGTATGAAAAGGTGCATTTGTTCAACCTCTAAAACTAAAACAATCAATGATTTATTTCTACTGTTTCAAACAATATTCCATCAGAATGAAAAAAAGTAAAAAGGAAAGATGTTTGAACTTGCTGCGACCATTGTGTGGTGATAATGGGATACGTGGCATTGAGTGACCACTACTTAGTATCTTGTACTTGTTGCAACCCTTGTGTGGTGATAACGTGATACATGGCATTTAGTGACCTCTACTTAGTATCTTGTACTTGTTGCAACCCTTGTGTGGTGATAACGTGATACGTGGCATTGAGTGACCACTACTTAGTATCAACTTTCACTTTCCTTTCTGATGATATTGCTGTAGAGGTTATGTTCTATTTTTCAAATAGAAAGAAATGCAAAACAAAAATGCTCACAAGGTCGTAATTGGAATCCCAAATCAAACATATCAAGGGAAAATATGGACGAGAGAAATGCGTGGAAAACAATACAAAGAATAAAGATTAACAACGGAGTACATAACAGTTAACGTTCACTGTAGGATTTCAACTACAAAAGTAGCATTCTTAGGGATATGTTTTTCTCACTCTAGGATGACACAAGAAGATATAACAGTACCGTTTGGGGTCCAACTTGTGCTGGGTCGGATTGTCTAACGTCTGAGATATCTTTACCACTGATGGAGGTCGGAGAATGCCTGCAAATACCTTACACCGGAGCTTATACATTCAGTCGCTCAACTAACTTTAATAGCATGCCACGACCAAAATTCTTTTACTTCTGCTCACGTGACATTTGGTACGTACGTCATGAGGTTCAAAACATCAATTTTACTCAAGGTATGAAGAATCAGTGAACATAAACAGCTGACCATTGTTGTTGTGGGATTTTTTTTTTTTTTTTTTGTTTTTGTTTGTTTTGTTTCTTTTATGACAATAAATTAACTTTACACTTAAGGGAGTACATGAAGACGTGTCTGAGCATTGGTGATCAGTCAGAACTGATGAAATAAGAATATGAACAGAGAAAATGAGACCGGTACGTATTCAAACTTTCCGATCGATTTACTATTAATGTTAGTATATTTCATCACACAGAACATTAACTTGCTGGTAGTTGTAAGTATTCTATTTAAAGTTCCTGGACATACATTTCTTTCTAAAGGTTACACAGGACGGAGAGACACTGGTAACAAATGTTCCTTTGTATATGCATCGCCTTATAATCCATGGGTCATTGTTATTACACCACGTTCACGTTAGCTGGCATACTACAGCTTGATTATTAAACGGAATGTATTCTTACGTTCGGATGTCAAGCACGTTAGCACCTGGAAATCGTTAAAGCTTTTTCTAAACTGGAGTTTCCATTATGAAAAATATATGTACAGACTTTCCAAAGTCATCATTTGAGGATAGTATACGTAGCCTATGTCGTTTAACGAAGAGTGTTTCAAAATTTATATATATTTATCTTTATTTCATGAAATCCCAGACACGTGTCTCGCATGTCGATGATATCAAAATTATTTAGGATAGGTTACTACTCATTGGTGTAACTATATTTCACCTGTAATTAATCATTCATACTGCAATAGTAGCACGTGATTACCGTTTTTTGTAGGTACCCGTTAACGTTAAAATGCTTTTTGCGTTTTGCCCACTACCATAATGAGAACTGAAATAACTTAACAATATCTATAAAGTTATCACATGAACGTCCCGTCTCATGTTATTATTATTACATGTTCTTTGTTCTCTTTTTATTACTGGTGACTTCGTTGTTTATTTGTAATGTATAATCAATAAGGCAATAGTTTCAGCAACATAAGTATCGTAAGCTACGTATATAGTAAATCTTGATTTACTCCCGACTTTCTTCAGATGTAATATACACGCTTTCTGTTTCAAGCTGTCATTCAAATGAAATCGAATGTCGAAGCTAGTTTTTCTTGTTTGTTTTTTTAACATTCACGTTAGCTCATTTGGATTTTCATCACTGGTCTCCTAGGTTTTGACAATTTAAACATCTAGCATCGCTGACAAGTCCTAGAAGGACGAATTCTACAGTTTAATTCATCATTTGGTTTTACCAATACCTAATTCTCAATTTGTAGTCAAAGACACTATTCAACTGTGTGTCTTTTGTACACTCAATGAATCTGTCATAATTTTGTTGAGGTTTACGATATCTATATCAACAGCTTCAGTCTCCATTGATGAAATTTTACGTTCGTCATGGGACCTAGGCCTGTATTCATGAAACCGTTGTCAGGCTCAAGCATGAATTTTGTGCTCAAGCCTTATGTCTTGTTTAAGTTAAAAATTAATAAATAAAATAAGGCTGATTTTGCCAGATTTAAAAACAGTTTTGAAAGGACTTCAAGTCAAAGCTATATTCAATGTCTAAATTGACATTTGTATTATTTCATATGATTTCGGTGAATTATAAAAAAAGTTTGCTTGAGCAAAAAATCTATGCTTGAGCATGAGAATGGTTTCATGAATACTGGCTCTGGTTTACAAGATAATAGTGTATTGTAATTAAAAGACATTATCATTATGTCTTGATCTTTTAATTGGTGTCATTTTCTACATTTAACAGGTGCCATGTGGTGGAAATGCGGACACAACTCAGTCATCAGATTATGATGAACGCTGAAAACCTAAGAAATGTCTTCTGAATAATGTTTCTAAAAATTAGATACAACCTTTCAGAAATGTCAACCAACAACTTTCTCTCCAGTGCATTTGCTTTTGTAAACGTTTTTCTCAAACTGACGATTTTTATTTTTTTTTTTTTTTTCTTATTTTTCACTTTCATCTATCCAATAATTTCCATATAGGTTAAGGTGTGGCTGACCAAAAAACTTTCAAATGTATCCTCTCATTTTAAAAGAGGGCATCTCTATACATAATGTTCTAAAACTGACACAATACCAAGTTCATTGTACTTGTTATAATTATATTAATCAGGATATGTGAAAGTAAAGTGGTTTTTATAAAGGTTCTGAGATTAATTTTCCTGGTCAACAACAGTTCATGAAATTGACCTTCGATGAATATAGAATTAAATGTTTTCACAAAATTCTGAAAATCTCAAATAAACACTTCCCTATTCTGGAGAAGTAGTCAAAGACATCTCCCCCAGCACCAGTGTGAGATATTTAAGTCCTATAAACAATTGTCCAAATTCACGCTCTTTTTAAAATCGTGAAGAATGAATAGTCAAAAATTAAAAACAAATAGATTTTAGGAAATAAATAAATTTAATTCTGAAGAACTGGTGATATAAAAATGACTATAACATTACCACTGTACAGAGATATGTGATAACAAACAGTAATACTGTCACAAGTTATAACATCATACACAATCTTCTCTCTGGGAATATTTGTACTAACCAATCCTATATTCTGCCATTTATTAGTAGGGGTAATTGCATACAACAGATATTTAAGTATACATACAAATAATGTCAAACTACTGCATGTTAAAAAATGATCAATTCGTTCAAACAAGAAAGTGATTTTACAAATTGTTCATCAAAAACATATTTTGAATTGAATTTATGAAAATTAAGTAAAGGTTTTCTTAATACATATTATTCACATTGAGACCAAAAATATTTGGAACACAGTTTTTAATGTAATATAAGCTTAATTTAACAGATTTAAAAAAAAATGATAGGGCAACTAAAAAACACGGAGAGGAGAAATGGTGTAGAAATATGATAAAATCATGCTTAATATATATATTCAATGCATTATATTTTTCAGATAATAATTAAAATTTCATTCACATTTGATAGTATGTTACAGCTAACTGAATTTCTTTGTTTGCAGTATTTATCACTCCACATGGCCTCATTGAAAAAGATAATATTTAGTCAGTTGTTAAACGATCAATATATGTATTTCAATTTATTCATAATCATCTATTAATCAGCTTTACCAAGTGGACACCCTGGTCAACATAAATTGAAAATTAAATTTTGCTTTTACATGAAGTCTGACGGCAATGTAACATTTTAAATAACAGTTTAAAATGAAAAAAAAAGAGAAAAAGTTAATAATTTTTAGATGTGTGTTGCTAAATATTAAGAAAAAGGCTGTGCTTTTCCCTGTACAATTATGCCATTATTCATACAACATCTGGACCATCTGAAATTAAATAGGTTTGTTCTTTATTATTTATATGTTACTTCCTGTACAGCATATGTTAAATTTAACCACATCATGTACATTTATAACAATTTATTCTAGAAGGTACAAACAATTTAAATACTATCAATTTGGATGTAAAATTACAAATATACGCTTCAGTAAATGCCATTTGAAAGCCACTGTATTATGACTTTTACTAAAAGCAAGCTACCAGTTTGGTAACTTGTTTTCAAAATGTGTTTAGTTTATTCATCATACGTTGTAGCATCCAAATTGACCTGATGATTTTTATATGACAATTTGTCATAACACTGATAATCAGAAATCTGTAATGAAATGGCAAAACCCAAAAGGGCTATATATGATTTTGGCCTTTTTTGGCCCCCATATCTGTCAAATTTTAAACTCTCAAATCACTGAATTTCAAATTTTGAAAACTTCCTCGATATTGATGTTATGATATTCATTTGTTATTATGGTTTACATGGTAACCACCTGAAATTTGCATAAATTAAGGAAATTTGATTGGATTTTTCAAAAAGTTTTCTCTCCCTAACTTTAGAGCAAACTCTTCCACAAGAATAATATAAAATGAAAATATGTTTGTCCCTATACTCCAACTTTAGAAGAAATAGAATGTATGTTCACGAATGCACTCTATAATTGCTGATTGAAAATTTATGCAAAAACTAGGTCAAAATTGACAACATAGTCATACTGTACTTCCGAAATTCTTGCAACTTGGAGATAGCAATCATAAACCATAGATATGAAATAGTGATATGAGAGTTCTTATGATATAAGAATGGTCAAAACTCAGTCCTTTATTTCTATTTCTAGTCATCAAATGTGATAGAGATCCAAATATTTCCTTGAAATTCTGTAAAAATTGACGCATTGAAAAAGTAATGGGCAATCACACTTCTCCCTTCAACCTCACATACATACAGGAATGAATCTTATGTAATTCGACTGAAAACTTCAAAAGCCATATAGTGGTACTTACCATAAAAGTGAAAGACTCATATCACGATTACCTTGGAGGAATTACAGTTTTACTTAACATATACAAATATGGTGGGGAATGATTTTCAAAATTGAGTATAATAAAGCATTTACACATTTTGATTTAACATTTTGACATGACGCAGAATATTCAAGTTAGTTCATATCAACTGTACATTTGAATGTTGGCAAAGTTAGAAGTAATGAAATACCAATAGCATACAACATTACAATGTATAGATTTTATCTAGTGTAAGCACTACCTGCCATAAAAATTTGTAATATTGTGAGTTTATCTAACATATTGAGTAAGACTGTAAGACATGAATTGAAGAAGAAAAATCAAATAATTAGATCGAAATTCTTCCATCTGGTCATAGTAACAAAAGATTAACAAGAAATAAATTCATGATCTAAAAAGCTGTAGTGTTCCTGACATCAAAATATCTTCTTGACTGACAAAGTTGATCAATATTCTATATCTAGGTTTTCCTTCCTTTTTTAATATTTAGATGACTGAGTTTTCTGTTTATTAAAATAAACTTCTTTAAATTACAAAGTCCTAAAACCTTAAATCTTTTCAACAAGGTCATGAAACTCTGATAAAAGCACTGACTACTCAAGTCATCACCATTTCTAATTCTTATCTTAAGAATAGTGACCATATATTATAATTCCTTAACAGTCTATAAACACTCTAATTTCAAAAATCTCACAAAAGAAAATAATAACTATATTTAACTTGATGCTGTAATGCCGATATGTATACATAGCATGTCATCAGTATTTACGTCAAGGTCATAGCAGGTTATTAACCAATGAAGGCAATATGTGCCTGGCTGAATCAAACCTCATGAGGGATTCAAATTACTAGTTATCCAAGAAATATTTAAACTGCCAAAAAGAATATATATAACACAGGTCATGATCATTTGGTAATGATGAAATATCACATATTTAAACAGACAGGTATTCTGCTGAAAAAATGACATTATTACAAACCACATGCAGGAATCAATTAATTGATAAAAATATTAAATATTTTATGTGTTGGGTAACATCTGTAGGGAATATCCTAATTCACATGTCTAATATTCAAGTATTTGTGACAAATCTACTTTTGGAGCATATGGAACCAGCATATTTTACAAGAACAAAACTACAACAATTTGGCATTAATCTATAACATTTGGAAGATCGTAAATATAAAATATTCTGGCCATGTTTTTATATGAGAAATTCTAACTTGATAAAGCTCTTCATGCAGATACTAAGTAACTCTATAATCTTTGTGATAACCAGTTCTTTAGATAAAAACGTTTATGTTATGTTACATTGTGTTTCTATTTCATGGCATAAGATGTGGGCTGTTCACTCTTTCGTTTTGACTGATCTTAGTACAACAATGTAATTTCTGACATGAAAGAATCTCAAAAAAAGACAAAAGATCTACATTGTATTCACTCCAGCTTTATCAAATCTTAGATTCTGACATGGAATTTTTTTCTGGTTTATTGAATGCAGTCTTGTTTTGTGTCATCTCCAAAATGTACTACAACAAATTTATCAAGGTAATACTTTAACACATCATGATGTACACTAAAATAAAGGATACAGCAACGTAGAAAAATCCAACCACGCCCCTTTGTTCTTTGTTCTTACTGTTATCACATTTAATAGGACATTGATTTACTCCGAACCCTGTGATAAAAGCAACACTATACCCGTGCTATCTATATATTACATTTTGTATATTTGAGTTATAGTTAATACAAATTTGATGTAAAACTGATGATTAACAACGCAATGACTGTTATTACATTTCCTTTTGGCCTATTTACATAACCACAGAGTTGTTCCTATCACAGAATATTTACAATAGATGGTTATTCTTTTTTTTGAGTATTAACAAATATTTATCTAATAGGATCATGAATCTATTCTGAAAGATCATTGTTTTGATTTACGCTTCAACATAAAAATTAGTGTAAAAGAATAAAAAAACAATTACTTTATATTTATTAAGTAGATATCTAAGTAACTTATATTACTCTAAGATAAAATATTCAAATATATTGAATAAAATCTTCACTTTTATAAATCTTATGCCTTTTAAGTAAATTTATCAATATAATTAAGTACCACATATTAAGAAAACATTCGCTGTCATTTTGAACATATTTCATGCATTGCATATATTTATATCACTGCGTATCATCTTTAAGTACAACACTTTTGAATGGTCATTAAATTTTTTGAAATAAAAACTGTCACATATCACACTGAAAACACATTTTTGATTTTCTATAGAAAAATATTTCAGAGATATATCTTGAGGAATGATTTACAGTTCATAAACTACATTATTAAGAACATTCTAATAACATTTATCATTAAAAATGTTTGTTAAATTAATTATAATATATAAAAGGTACAATCATATTGTATATTAAAAATCATAAATTTTGATTCTAGCAAATTTATAATCTATTACAATTTGTTCCTAATTACTCAGATAACATCACATATTTGAGAGACACATTGCCTTTGCCAACCTTAATATCACTAGTTTGTTCTCTGTTCAGACATGTACAGTATATGAATATATCATTTAAAAGTTATATGAAAAATCTTAACAATATGAAGAAAACAAAATGATTAGATTATTTCTGGAAAACAGTCATCATTTTTCTCCAGTGAATATTAATCTATACAACTGATAAAAATTGTGTAGTGTATTTAAACTAATAAATGTTGCAAATTTACATTCACATGATCACAAGATATCAAACTACTACTTCCAAAACTACACAACACATCTACATATTTATATAACTATGCACTCTGTGATAAAATTCTGGCTCAGTAAAAGAAGAACCAACAAGCACCATATACATTCCTATATAAAGCATGCTGCTTCTATTCACAATGTTTAAAAGTAGCAATACAGCTACACAACTGAACAACTATGCAGTGAACAGCACAACTGATATGAATGTAATGTACACATTTTAAAACGCTGATTACAGACATTGGAAAACATTTTAGGAATGTATAGAAAATTGAAAAAAAAGTGCAATAAATTTGCTCAACAATATCTGTTTAAAATGTGAACTACATTGATATACAAACTAACTTAAAATACACACATCTTTATCACAAAAAAACGTGGCTCCACTAGGCTTAAAAACGTGGCTCCACTAGGCTTAAAAACGTGGCTCCACTAGGCTTAAAAATGTGGCTCTACTAGGCTTAAAAAACATGAATTGTCATGTCTTTTTTCTTTGTAATATGAATATAAAACCTAAACAAAAAACAACAGGACAATATGCTTTTTCTTTCCAAACCAGTGACAGTGTGAGATTCATTGTCCCTGACACTGTTTCAGCAATGTACAAATGGAAATATTTATTGGATAGTATCTAACGGTAAAATGATTGACCAATGTCTAACTTTCCAATATTTTAAATCTATATAGGTTTGGACTTGCATGCCATTTGCATCGTCGTTTTAACACTCTTTTATTGATAAATATATATCAACATTGAAATATTTGAAAGCTTACAGCATATGAAGCTTGTAAGTATAAGGTTATCAGAAACAATCAGCAGTAGCCTGTGTTCAATTAAACAGCCATAGTAATGCTAATAAAAATATTAAGAAACTGAAAGAATTTTGCAATGAATACTTAGTCATGTGTCATCTAAAATAGTTCATTTCAGACAAAAACAATCATTTAAGATGCCATACAAACATCTACAACATAAAAGATATGCAATGTTTGGCAACTAGAGTATCAAAACTGGGATTCCCAAAACTTCTAAAAATGTGACGATGTTATTCACAACAGAAACAGAAATATAGATATATAAACAAACGACATAACAATTATCACAACAATGTGATTCTGGACTTACCTACAGAGACAGGAAGGAAGGGCAGGCCGAGAATGAGAATCAGTTATATGCAGACAATGTCAACCTGCACTCGCCTATAGAGATAGGAAGGGAGGCAATCCAAGCATGACATTCAACTATATATAATCTTTCTGGTTTCTAACTTTCTTCTCTCAATGAAGACAATACCAGTCATTGTTAAACAATAACTAACTTTATATATTCTACAGATTATCTCAGTACTATTAAAAAGACAAATCTATTGATGGGGTTTATTCCTTGTCAAAGATGAAGGACTATCAGATCGATAAATATCACAATTTGTCTTGTCCATCACATCCTTACTCCTTACTTTCTGCTCAACTGATGGAAATTCTGTAAAATTTCAACATGGTGTTCTATTACAGAAACAGGCTCTTGACAGCTGCATTGGCTCACCAGCTTTTCTGACATTTCTTTGTTCAGTCTGGTAAAGGTGCTGCAAGACTCTAGTTAATTTTTGACAAATATCTTACGCCTACATCAGCCATGGCCTCACTCAGAAGAAACACATTCTTCTTGAGATTCCTGAGAGAAAATTCCTCTATTCTCAATTTGATCTTTGTTCACAGTGCTGTTCGTTCTGTGTAAACCACCACTGAGTCGTTTTTAATGAGGTTCTCAGTATCGTTCCCATGAAGTGCTCCAATGTCGGGAATAGCACTCGTCCTCATTACAGCAATGGCTGCTGCTGATTCACTCCGCATACGGTTCTTCCTTTTCAGTGTATTACTAGCCTGTCAAAAATATTAATACAATATCCCATCATCAGGTATGTTCACAGTAGGAGACTTTTGAATATTGACTCCTAAACTGATCATATCAATAGACAAATAATTCTTTTATTATAGTTTTCAGTATTTAGAAATCAGTCTGTGGCTAATCTAAAGAACATTCTTTTGTCAAGAGAGAATATATCAATTTGAAAGCACTATCAATCCTGAGATGACCTTGGCACTCTCTGACCAGAACTTCTTAACCTTCCAGACATCCAATGAGAAATCTAAGAGTATGATGATATATCCTCATGAGTGTCCAGTTTTATTCAGATGATTGTAACAAGCCATCACAATGTTATTTGTTATTGTACAATAGATAGTTACATCTATTTAGGACCTTGACTAAGAAAGAAGGGCCTCTGGTAGTGCTTACCTGAGAGTACACTTCTTCAGCTGACAGCGCCATGGAAACAGCCATTGATTCTTGATCTTCTTCCTGGTAACCATGGTGATGCTGATCACCCATGAACATGGGATTCTGTACACCTATCAAAGTTAAAGTATTAACAGGATTTAAGACAGCGAAATGAATAATCTGGATTTAGCTTTACAATTTCACTATCTTATGAATGTAAACATTTCAATATTTAAGGTGCTCTCATCGGCCATCTCCATAAATCGTAAATAATTATACCTTGCTATCCCATCATATCGCCGTACGTGATAAGTAGATGACTTTGATGAATACTTTATCCGTTTTTCAATACTTTTTAACAAATGAATCAAAAGGGTATGTTTTGGTGTCTCATGTCCATTAAGTGGCTTAGATAGTAATTCATAAACTCTAGGATCTGAAAATATACCATAGAAAATCTTCGTCAACTCACAAATCAAAAACCAAATACTTACCTGTAACAAGTTCACATCAACACCTGATATTTACCTGTAACAAGTTCACATCAACACCTGATATTTACCTGTAACAAGTTCACATCAACACCTGATATTTACCTGTAACAAGTTCACATCAACACCTGATATTTACCTGTAACAAGTTCACATCAACACCTGATATTTACCTGTAACAAGTTCACATCAACACCTGATATTTACCTGTAACAAGTTCACATCAACACCTGATATTTACCTGTAACAAGTTCACATCAATACCTGATATTCATCTTTGAAAAGATAACATCAATCATTGTTATTTACCTATGACGAGGTGACATCTTCACCTGATTTTTACCTGTGACGAGGTGACATCTTCACCTGATTTTTACCTGTGACAAGGTGACATCTTCACCTGATTTTTACCTGTGACGAGGTGACATCTTCACCTGATTTTTACCTGTGACAAGGTGACATCTTCACCTGATTTTTACCTGTGACAAGGTGACATCTTCACCTGATTTTTACCTGTGACAAGGTGACATCTACACCTGATCTTTACCTATGACGAGGTGACATCAATATCCGATCTTACTTGGGATAATGATGACATCACCATCTGATATTTATAAATGACAACGTGACATCAACACCTGATATTAATCCGTAACAAGATGACATCAACATCTGATATTTACAGGTGATAAGGTAACATCAACACTTGATATTTACCTGTGACAAGGTGACATAACTTCTGAAATTTATCTATGATAAGGTGACATCAACACTCGATATTTACCTGTGACAAGATGACATCAATCCAATATTTACCTGTAACAGAGTGTGCACTCCTGGCCAGACTTGGTACCTGCAGCGTCATATTACTAGCTCCCTTCAGGCTACCATAACCCTGTTTAAGATAAAAAACATATTCTTTGATGAATTGATGGAAAGTAAATAGTCACACATCACATTCTACAATACAAGTAAATATTGTTTCACTTTAACATTATATGGTTTTGAAAATTTGGGGAAGATTATGAAATATGTATATTAACAAGAAACACCAGTTAGTTTACATCATACGGTTTGATTTATAAAACAAAATTAAAGACAGCTTTTTAAATGACTGTGAATTTCTTAAAAAGTACAACCATTTTTTTTTTATTTTTTCCTTGTTTTTGTAGACAAAAAAATAAATAAATGCTTGTACAGGTTTATTGATAAAGAAATTCAATCTAAAAAGGAAAGTCAACAGCAACTTCATTAAATTAGCTTTGTTCCATTTAACAAGTGTTGCGTTGGAAAAATCCACTCTATACCAAGTTTGCTAGAGAGAATTTCTCCTTCTGTATACTGATATGTTTCACCTACCTAATGTGAGTTTTATATGCCTTATTACTGTAACAGCTGTTTAATTGTAATGTTTAAAGAAAATCTGGCTTACTTCTGGAACTGTTCTCATAGTACTGGCTGCATCAAACCGTACATCATCAATATTGATATCTACTTGACCATACTGTCCATTTTCCTCCACAATTGAAGATGTCCCTGACCCAGTCCTGAAGGAAAATGTTCATCCTCATCTAATGTTATTTCAAATTGATATCCCTTGATAGAAATAAGACAATTTAATATAATGCTAGAAAATGGGATACTTACAGCGTTTCAATACAAAACATAAATTTTAGGCCAATTTCTTGTTTTAAAATATTTTTTGTTTTCAATAAATTGGTTCGAAGAATAGGGAAAAACAACTTTAGCATTTCTCAATGATGGTACAGTTTCTGCTATGACCAGAACTGCAAAACAGAAAGTAAAAATTTGAACCTGAGATCCTCCCTTGTAAGGTACTTTGGATTCACTCTTGCACAGACTAATGCTTTCTCAGATAGGAGTAGGAAACCCTTTATCACAACAAATATAAGGTATACTCAGTAAACATTTTCTTTACCTTGAGGAACTTGCCCTTGAATCATTGTCAAGAATAATTGGTTCTGGGGTTTTGCTTCTACCTAGAGAAGACAAAGTTATATAAGTTAAACAACAACTTAAATATTAAAGTTTTTTAAGATAAACAACACTGTTTTATTTTCATGGTTTAAGCACTGAAGCTGCTATATTTACCAACAGTTCCTGAGGTGGGCCTCCATTTCACACAAAGACACAAACCAAGAATTAACACCATGGTAACCAGGAACACACCAGCTAGACTTCCCCCAATCACTGCCGCCAGAAACTCATCAGAGTTGTCTGCTCCTGTTGCCAGTAGACCTACTGTTGTTGAGGGAGGAGGTGGGGAAGGAGTGGTAGGGGCAGGAGTTGACGGAGGCGGAGGAGGTGGAGGTAACTTGTCTGTGAACAAAGCAACACACATTATAATGATTACTTACCATTAATGATTATATACCATTTTCATCAAGGCAACATAACTGTCTGAAAGTGGTTCACAAATTTTTGTGTTATTTATCCGTTTGCTACTTGAGCTGAGTTTACTGCAAAATCTTTGTCCAAAGATACATCTCTGAATTCCATGCCCGGAGTCAAACTACCCAACCCTTCCAACATGTGCCCAACGTCCTATCACAAGATTACCATGCCTCTCAAAACTGTTGAGAAGAACCAGAAGTTTCACCTGTAGTAACGTTAATGGTGTGGTTATCTCCTCTGCCTGCATCACCAAAAGCAGAAACTGTGATGGAGTATGTAGACGAGGGCAGTAAGTCAAGTAGAATTGCTGCTGTGGAAGTAGTTGTCAGGGAGATCATTGAGGTGGTGCCATCTGTCAGCATAAAAATTACATATAAAATATTGGCAAAATATTGTTACATACTCTGAAAGGATGACAAACTTTTCAATGTTACCCGATACATACAAAATCTTTATACCAACGGTATTTTAAAAGGTTTCTGTTTTAAGGAGGTCCCAATTCTCGTCATGTTCACGGACAGCCTGAAATAAGTCCCTAGAAAAATTGACCTAACGAAAAACTTCTTTTAAAATTGATTGTCAGGAAATGACATTCCTGCCAGATTCATTCATTCATTCATTCATTCATTTTATGATATCTATAAATAATTAAAACAACTGACTACTAAGAAAATGAAAAATAACCTTTATATAGGTACATGTATCACAATGCAAGTTACCATGTCATACATCTTCTAATCAATGAAATATTACATAGCAGACAGTCACTGCATAAATGATAAACACAAAATTACATTAACATATATATGACAAACTTGAAACAAAACTGCTTTTTTTCATGTAGAGTGTAAAATAATATTTTACTTCTAAATAGATTTTCAATTCTGTGATCAAGTTCAATTAGCTTTATTTGAAGTAAAAACCTATGTGCATGAATACACAATACAAACTGACCTTGGTCATGTAGATTGTAACACACATTCCATAATGACACATTGCCCTGTAGCAGCCAAGTCCAGACCTCTTCCTGTAGTGACATCAGCCCTGTACTGGTGTTGTATACTAGCTGGGCATTGTCCAGTCGCGCTGACCAAGCTGCCAAGATGTCTGACAGAAGTGCTGCAGTTTCATCACCACTGTCTCGATTAAAGGCACTACTCATGTTCAGTAATATTGTGTCAAGAAGCTGAAGGGCTGATGGATTTGTTCTTATGAGAATACTACAAGTAGTTTTAAGTTTGTTGCGGTCAGTTGTTGTGACCCAAGCTGGAAGGTTACCCTCTCTGGACTGATCAACATTTCGCTTGACAAGGTGGTATGGTAATTTCAATGATGATGTAGCCATTTCTTTTATATTTTTCTGCGGCATTTGTACATATTTTTTGTCATCCATGTTTAAAATTTCAACTGCATCTGCCATGAATCTTTCTTCAACTGATTTCTTGCCTTTGAAATCAACATCACTGAAGAAATAATTTGCTTTAGATAAAAGATGTGATTTCCTTTTTGTAAGGAAACTGTTAAAATCTTGAAGTGGAATTAAATTTGCATTCATTGAAGCATAATAGTCATTTTGACCTTGACCTGACTTATATTCAGACATTGCCCTATCACTGATGACCTTTGACTTTTGAAGGTCAGCACTCCTTCTCACCACAGCCTGTTCTGATGCATCATTGTTTACACTAATGTCATTGCCAGCTGTTCTATTTCCCTCATCATTTTCCTGTGCTTCATTTTCATTTGCTCCTCCCTCACTTGACAAGATGTAATAATCCACAAAGTAGCCTTGGATGATTCCATTGAGCTGTGAAGGAGGGTCCCAGTTTAATGTGATACTGGTTGGAGTTGCTGTAAATCGTATATTCCTCACTGTCCCTGCCACTGAACAGAATATGAGAATTCAAATGAGAATACTTGAAGAGTAAAAAGAGTCTAAGGGGCCTATATCGCACACATGATAAACCATCTAGGTAAGTCTGCACTGTTGTTCATCAGAGAACAGGTATGAGTGAAAACAAGAGTCTATAGGGCCTGTATTGTTCACTGGTTCAATTTATCTATTAAGTAAATCTGAACCGTTATCAACAGGCAAAACATGTAAGAATAAATAACATTCTTAGAAAGGACAGGGATGAGAAGAATAAGAGACAAATTCTTGCAGATAAACACTCCAAGAGGAATCAAATTCAGGTCTCCAGAGTAATAATCTATGGCTCTATCAACTGAACAAAAGAAGCAGAGCTCTGTCATTACTCTCTCTCTGTTTTTTCTTGACAGAATACCAAAATCTCCATCAAATACATGCATATAACACGAGTCTGTGGGATTTCGTAAGTACGACTGTGAAGGAACAAGGTGACAGAAACCACAATAATTCAATGCAAAAGCCACATTTTCCCATTCCTTTTATCAATCAATAGAATCATATTTTTTGAGGTAGAAGAAAATGAGTCATTCATTGAGGCGAGAAGCTAAATCTGAGAAATTTAATTTGGTTAGCAATGTAACGTGATGGTTCTCACCTGTTTCATGAGTCTTGATGACTGCCCAGTTTGTAAATGGTCCTTGCAAGGTGTTGAAAGGGCCAGAAATCAAAGCAACACGCACCTGGTACTCTGTCCATGCCTCCAAGTTACTAACAAATATATTCATTAACAATTACAAGTCCTTTGAAATCAATTTTTATAGTTTTCATTTCACCCAATATGTAAATTGTGTACTTAATGCATTTTTGTACTTATTGGTACATATACTATATGTTCATTTATTATGCATACATTGTATATTCTTAAAAATCTATTGTTACTTCTATTGTATCAGTGCATTTAGTAAATAAGTTAATTATTTTTTTTTTATATCAGGGCAGTTAGTTGAACAGACAAATATTTAAGATTCTTGTATCATTTTCATTCCTATATTCTGCTACTGTGACAAAAGTTCAATAACTAACCATTTGAAATTGTTTTACCCTCACATACACCAAACATCAAAATAATGCTTTACAGACAATAAACCTGTACTTCTCCATGATTTCATAATTACCTGATGTTGAGACTGAGGGAGTCCAGACTGTATGTGTTTATTGTTTCTGAAGTATCATCACTGTCCCTATATTTACCATACTCGACCAAAAACCCAGTCAGTTCACTATTCCATGTAGCAGGGTCAGGCAGCTTTAGACAGAAAATATCAAATCAGGAACTATAGAAATTGTAAGTGAAACCACCAGTCCCCAAAAGTGGTATCAGTCACACTTGTTATAGTGTTTTGTCTATTGTTCATTTATTTATTAGCATCAAGCTCATTTTTCTGTTTTGCTATTTGGATTTAATCTAAATTTTCAACTTTGTCTAAACAGAAATGCCTATATTGTAATCAATAACTTTAATAAGCAGTCAAAATCTGACATACTATATTCATTTTACCATTTCATACAAAATATGCAGCAAAATCACTTGAACACCCTTGTGACATTGTATAAACATCACATACATAATGAAACTAGATAATCTCTACAAGACAAGAATGTGAAACTTTCTATGCAAAACAGAATCTGATTAGCAGTAGAACTAGATGGAGCCAAATCTGTATAGGGTTCTTAAGATATAAAATCAATTTGGAACTAGAAACGCTGAGATGCAATGAGATGGATGAACATTATATGTACCCACATCTCCATCCCTGTCCCCACCCTTAAAATATGTGAGGACATAAAAGCTATCTTCCATCTATCGAAAATTCATTGAAGATTTCAAAGCATTGAAAATGAATCAATTTATGATTTGATGTATACTATGTTACATCAGAGACATATATGACATATACGTCCCTGGTTACATGTGATAAAAGTTAACATTTTCAAGTGATGCTGAATTTATTTTAATTGCTTGATAATTTTAAATGAAATTCACCACAGATTTTTTATCCCCCTGGATCGAAAGATCTGGTGCATATTGGTTTTGTGCTGTCTGTTTGTCTGTTGTCAACATTGACCTACATTTGAAAAATTTTAACACAGGCCATAACTTTTGCATCACATGAGGTATGGCTTTCATAGTTGGAATGTGAATTCCTTGTGACTAGACTATTTTGGTGGTATTTTGGACCATGTGACCTTGACCGTGACCATTGACCTACATCTAAAAGTTTAAATAAATCATTACCACAATGAAGACATAAGTCTTTCACAAAGTGTCCAAGTAATTAGCACATGCCTTACACAGTATACTTTTAGTGTTCCACTTCAGAATTTTGTTACAACCGGGGGCATAGTGTTTCATGTACACATCTTGTTTCAGGTGATATGACCATCCTGATTTCTTGGATTCAACAGAAAATGAACACTAATATTAAATGATCTATATAGCTCTATTATCAATCCAGCTACAATTATGAGTAATAGAACTTCACTCACAAATAAGGTCAGATAAGTTAAACATACTTACACTAAACATCACCTTAATTGTATCCATGGATATGGCTTCAACAACTAGATTTACAGGTTGTCCAGAAGGTGCTACGAAAAAAAAAATTATATATCATGTCAGAGAAGTATATATATCATGTCAGTGAAGTATATATATCAGGTCAGAGAAGTATATATATCATGTCAGAGAAGTATATATATATCAGAAGTATATATATCAGAGAAGTATATATATCAGAGAATTATATATATCAGAGAAGTATATATATCAGGTCATATATCAGAGAAGTATATATATATCAGTCAGAGAAATATATATATCAGTGAAGAATTATATATATATCAGTGAAGTATATATATCAGGTCAGAGAAGTATATATATCTGGTCAGAGAAATACATATATCTGGTCAGAGAAGTACATATATCAGGTCAGAGAAGTACATATATCAGGTTAGTGAAGTATATATATCAGGTCAGTGAAGGATATAAATCAGGTCAGAGAAATATATATATCAGGTCAGAGAATTATATATATCAGGTCAGTGAAGTATATATATCTGGTCAGAGAAGTACATATATCTGGTCAGAGAAGTACATATATCAGGTTAGTGAAGTATATATATCAGGTCAGTGAAGGATATAAATCAGGTCAGAGAAATATATATATCAGGTCACAGAAGTATATATATCAAGTCAGAGAAGTATATATATCAGGTCAGAGAAGTACATATATCAGGTCAGAAATGTAAATACAATCAGTTTTGATCAGTTAATTCTGTGACATACTAAGTCTGCTTTAATCATCTGGAAATCATTTTTGAACAAGACCAAAATGCAATGCTTTAATTATCAGTTCTACAAATAATCATTCACTAGATACCAGCTTGTTTGGTGCGGACAACAATCTCATTGGAAGGTGGCCCAACACCTCCTGCATTTTCAGCCTCCACAAGAAACGAATACCAGCTCCATGGCAACAGCCCGGTGACATTGACTTTTAGATCACCATTGTTGATGCTGATGTCTGACAGAAAGGTGAAAGTTGCAGCAGGCCGATAGCGGACATGATATTTTGTAATAGGGCCACGTTGTAAAGGCAATGGAACAGGCTGAAATAGGACAAACAGGTATTTCTTAGAATCATAACTTGTCATCACAACCCTAACATTTCAAAATGATCAAAATTTCTAAATATTTGTGAAAAGACCCCAAAATTGTAAATTCATCTTTTAACCAGAAAAAATAATTTGGTACCAATTATCAAAATTATCTGTTAACACTAAATCAACTTGTTACAATTTTTATTCTACTGCAAGGGTCGTCCATTAATTCCAACATTTTCAGACTCCTGCTCATTAGCCCAAAACCTCAGAGCTTTGTATCACAACTTACACTCCAGGTGACCTGCACTGCATAGGGCGAGAGAGCGATCACCATCAGGTCCACTGGACTGCCACTCGGGGCTGTAAATAAACAATATCAAAGTCATTTAGATTCAAATAATGTGACAGGGTCAGAATTGCACAGTCAACATCCTACATGTAGACCTGCATTCCCAAATCATATAAATATAATATGAGTCACACATTAAGGTAACAGTCAATACCTTATAGCAGAATAATACTTTGTAAGACAGGAGAAACAATCTTTTTAAGACAGGGTCAATATTACAAAAACACCTCTATGTGACACCTGTCTTTGTATGTTGCGAGACAGTTTTGACATACCTGTGACACCTGTTTTTGTGTCTATTGTTGTGGACAAGTTTCCCCACAGTTCAATGCCATTCTCTATGGTAGCCCCTTGTACAGAGAACTCGTAGTCAGTGTAAGGGTCAAGGTTCATGACAGTATAGGTAGGGGCAACCACCAGTCCAGTAATGAAGAATTCAATAGTTTTTGGACCTGCAGGAAAATCATGATATTATAATTTGTACAAATAGAAATGTATGAGGTAAAGAAGAACTAAAACTAATCTTTTACATTTTATTATAACTGATTTTAGATATATCTGTCTTTTCTTTCAATTTTAGAATCCTGTTATCAATTACATGATCTCTATTTGTAAACAGATCAGATCCTGCTTTCCTTGTGCCACTCAGAATTTCTTTTGTACCAGAACCTGTACTTACTAATTCCCCCGCTCTCTGTGTGTACCAGATCCTGTACTTACCAAGTCCCCCTGCTCTCTGTCTGTACCAGATCCTGTTCTTACTAATTCCCCTAGCTCTCTCTGTCTGTACTAGATCCTGTTCTTACTAATTCCCCTAGCTCTCTGTCTGTACCAGAACCTGTACTTACTAATTCCCCCGCTCTCTGTGTGTACCAGAACCTGTACTTACCAAGTCCACCCGCTCTCTGTCTGTACTAGATCCTGTTCTTACTACTTCCCCTAGCTCTCTGTCTGTACCAGAACCTGTACTTACCAAGTCGCCCCGCTCTCTGTCTGTACCAGATCCTGTTCTTACTAATTCCCCTAGCTCTCTCTGTCTGTACTAGATCCTGTTCTTACTTATTCCCCTAGCTCTCTGTCTGTACCAGATCCTGTACTTACTAATTCCCCTAGCTCTCTGTCTGTACCAGATCCTGTACTTACCAAGTCCCCCTACTCTCTGTCTGTACCAGATCCTGTTCTTACTAATTCCCCTAGCTCTCTGTCTGTACCAGATCCTGTTCTTACTAATTCCCCTAGCTCTCTCTGTCTGTACTAGATCCTGTACTTACTAATTTCCCCTAGCTCTCTGTCTGTACCAGATCCTGTACTTACCAAGTCCCCCTACTCTCTGTCTGTACCAGATCCTGTTCTTACTAATTCCCCTAGCTCTCTGTCTGTACCAGATCCTGTACTTACCATGTCCCCCTGCTCTCTGTCTGTACCAGATCCTGTACTTACTAATTCCCCTAGCTCTCTGTCTGTACCAGATCCTGTACTTACTAATTCCCCGGCTCTCTGTCTGTACCAGATCCTGTACTTACTAATTTCCCCTAGCTCTCTGTCTGTACCAGATCCTGTACTTACTAATTCCCCTAGCTCTCTGTCTGTACCAGATCCTGTGCTTACAAATTCCCCCAGCTCTCTGTCTGTACCAGATCCTGTACTTACCAAGCCCCCCCGCTCTCTGTCTGTACCAGATCCTGTACTTCCTAATCTCCCCGTTTGTCTGAGCAGGAATTTCCCATAACAGTTCCACTTGGGTGGGGCCGACATCTGTCACATGGAGATTCCGAGGAGCTGATGGACCTGTCAGGAAAATTTTTGTTTGTACATGTGTTTCTTTGACCTGGCAGCATCATTCATCGGAACACTTCAGCATGCAGATATCTATCTTATTTCAATATGAGGTTGACTTCTCTGTATATTGACTTTTTTTTGTTTATATCCGAACTCAATCATTTTACGAGAGATAACTCAAAGTCACTCAGATTTTGTGCTTACTTTATTTCACAAACTTACCTATGCAGACATATTTGTGTACATGTGATTCGCAAACGCTGATCTAGAAATGATTTCAAATTGGCAAATGATAAGCTATTACAGATATGAAAAGCTCCTATGTTGGGGACAGATAGCTTCATATTGGCCACCTTTGCTTATAAGAGTGATACATTATACCTGAAAAGTGATTCAGTCATGTGATACTGTAGATTGTATCTTCTTGAGTAAAGGCTGTACATATACATAAGAAATAAAGTGAACGTTCCACACACTAAATTTATGTTTGAAGAGCTGTTTCAGGATTAGATGACAGGTCTTCATTAGGCCAGACATGTTTGGACAGAGTTTTATGTTACAAGCATGTTATTACTTATCACACAGCTGTAGTCATCCTAGCAGAAACTTCTTTAATGGTTTCCTACTGTTTATGTTGTAATTCTATAGAACAGATATTTTTCATGTTTCATATTCTGTTATTGTAATTTAAATGTTTTAACACCTTTCCAAATAAAAATAAAGTGATTTGCAGTATATATGTGTACAACCCTATACAGCAAATATCAAGCTTCATAACACTTTGATATACTCAACCTCGTGCATACCTGAGTCAAATGTCTTTGCAATCTTGACATTACTGCGTTCCCCTTCCCCTGCAGAGTTGACAGCTGCCATGGTAAAAAAGTACTCTGCCCCTGGGGTGAGGTACTGCACGAGGAATGCTGTCTCTGTTCCAAGGATGATAGCAGGATGTCTAGTATAATCCAGGTCTATCCTAAAAGGGAAATAGGTCAATTTGCTTCTGAGTTGTAACTACATGTTTGACATTAGAGGGTTCCTGAAACAAGTATCTATCATAATTGTAATCTTTTCTAAATAACTTAATTAATCACTTCTTAATTTTTCATTCTTAAATGATATTGCTTTCTAGATGTAAACTCTTCTAAAATAAACATCACATTACTTTTAAGAATCAAACTTTCCATATCTGATATAACTTAATCCTAAATGTCATTTTATCAGATGTGACAAAAGACACCTGAAATACGCCAGGATTAGGTCAAAAGTATACACAGCATGGTCAAGGTCATTAATACAGAACTAGGCCAAAAATATGTCATGAAAAGGTCAAAACACAGCACAGTCAAGGTCATATAAACAGAACTTGGCCAAGGTGATATTTACTTGCACCCTTATAATCCAAGAAATCAGTAAATGAAATGGACAAAATAGTTACTCCACATAACCTTTATACAAACCAGAGTAACATAATTACAAAATCTTATATGCATTTTCATTTCCTGTAAAATGTTGTGAAATAATTCTCAGAACTTTTTATTTTTCTGTGCCCTTCCCTTCTCTTGTCAACCAACTTTCAGACTAGTGAAAAAAATATCGAGTAAGAAAAAAGAAATATTCAAAATACTAAACCTGTAGTTACATTTAAAATACTTATTGAAGTACCTATACTTACTTTTCCTTGTAGTAGAGAACATACTGGGACACAATCGTATGAGTTTTCTGAGTGACAGGTTTCCATGCTACCTGTATGGCTGAGGAGGATATTGGTGTTGGATCCATCACCTGAGGTGGGATAGGTGGCTCTACATGGGAAACATTTATTTTACAAGATACATTTAAATACAGGTATGTTAAGAAAAAATTAATGAGGAGATTTATTGGAGGAGAACCAATCACCCAGACAGGGATATGAAAGCAAATAGAAACTTCATCTGTTTAGTTATGAAATGATTATTTTGAGGAAATTACATCAACATTTCTTCTCTCCTTTTGAGTTTATATGTTTATAAGTTTATATTCTATAAAAAATATGACAAAGGTTTTCAAAATATGGAATAAACTAAATTAGAATTGAAATCTGAATGTATTTGGATTACTTATATTTGATCACTGTTGTGTAACAAGGTTTAATTCACTGACCAATAACAAACACATCAATGGTCATCTCCGATCTGCCAGCCAAATTATCTGCAACACATTTGTATTCTCCTACAAAAAAAACATATGACAACACTGAATGATTTTGGCAACAAAAATATTGTGCATTAGAATGTTACCACTATGATGAATGAATCCTTCTTCAATCCATAATTAGTCAGAAGAAGCTATTATACCTAATTTGAAATTTTGTTTTATCTAACGTACCACATTATCTTAGTACCGTAAATATTCGCGTATAGTGCGCACTTTTTTAAGCTGAAACTGTCGTGTCAAAAAGGGGGTGCGCACTATACGCAGGTACATGCCATTCCTGGGGTTATCATTCCCGAGTCTGCATTAATTTCATACCAACATAGTATTGATTAAAAAGAGCACCTTGGAATATATCATACATATTATTGTGTAATATTAACTGCAGAATATCAATATTATCAACCACACACTTTGAATACAAACCTGCATCTGATGGCCCTGCGACCTTGACCAGTAGTCTATGTCTCTCAGGGAAGGACACACGGCCATCAAATGAAGGTCCGATCTGCTGGCCAATGTGTTTCCAGTTGATGTTTGGAGCAGGAACACCATCTACTAGACACGTCAGTTCCAGGTCCTTAGTGATGTACACAATGGCGTTACCAACAATTCTGTATACTCGTGGTGGTACTGACAATCACAAATATAGTCACATCAAATCACACAATGATCTGAATGATATCTCATAAAAAAATGATGGAAATTACAACCATGACAGCAGAGCATTGCTGTCAATACATTACAGAAAATTCTTAAAAATCAATCCGGTGACATGTATCTTAAGTCATAGAAACTTGCAACCTGAAAACTAATCCCATCCATTTAAGGAGTCTTAGAATGTCTGATTGCATTGCTGAATCATGTGACCTGTCAAAAGTTTCTCACCATGCTAAGTCTCTAACATTGTTTGAGTACCCTGTCATGTTGAAGAACTGAGCTTATCATATCTTCAATAGGTTAAAGTCTTTTATCCTTTATTTAGCAAAAACATCAGGAAATTCATTATGTATTTTGTAACAATGCTGTACTTTACATACCGTGTAAAGAAATGATGGCTGTAGAACTGATGGCTCCCTCCATACTGGCTGCAACACATGTGTATTTACCCACATGTAGCCACGAGGTGTCAGTCACCTGAAGGTGGCGTTTGTCCAAGGACACAAAAATTCCAGGTGGAAATAAATTAGTTCCCTGAAAACCAAATTTTTACAAGAGTATCAGGATAACTGATGAATGCTCCCCAAAACCAAATTTATTTAAACAAATGGATATGATTCTGTAATTAATAGGTTGCAGACCCAGAATTTGGTATATTGCACATTCTCCTAATATGACCAATGCATACACCAAGTTTCATGATCCCAGTTTTAATGCATGCAAAGCTATGTTCATGACACAAAATTTTAACAAAGGCAATAGCTCTGCACTAGAGGGCCATGGGTCCAGACTTTACTCCATTGTACCTTGCATTTGTATGATTGATGTATACATCATGTTTCAATATCCTAGTTTAAATGCAGACAAAGCAATACACTGGACACAAAATATTTTAACAAAGGGCAATACCTCTGTAATTAAGGGCTTGCAGCCCCTAACATTGGAACTGCACGTTGTCTTTGTATGACTAATGTATACACCAAGTTTCATTATCCTACCTTAAGCTCTGGAAAGGATATTTCAAACAAAGGGCAATAACTCTGTAATTTAGGGGTTTTGAGTCCTGAAGTTGGTACAAAGCACATTGTTTTAGTTTGATAAATACATATAAGTTTCAAGATCCTTACTTAACTTTGGTCAAAGCTATGCTCCAGACGAGAATCTTTTAAGGAATGGCAATAACTCGTCATTAAGAGGTTACAGGTCCTGCCTTTAGTATATTGTACATTGTCTTAATATCATCGATAGCAGTTATGCTCCAATGTAAATTCATCAAACAGTTATTGTATGCTAAACCAGCACCTATCTACAGCAGTTTTGGTGGAAATTCATATACACATTTCATCATTGTTCCTGTTATAAACCCTCCCAAGCCTTTTGTACAGAGCTCAACTGCCTGTTGTAGCTATGTGATTACAGCAGGATAAAATCATGACATGGTTAGTCTACAGCTTAAATCTGTTTTCAGACCTAATGAAAAATATATGATATAGTTCTACAATCATCCTCATTTTATTTATTGTGTTCCTCATGATCATTATACTGTGAACATTTTTATATATATATATAGATCAATTTTTTCGGCGTTTTATAATAAAAAATCAGAGCAAAAAGAATCAATTTTTCAAGCCAGTCATAAAGATCATGAGGCAGAGTGTAGTTTTCCTTATAAATTCTTTTCTTCAATGTATGTAATTTTCAAGATATTCGTCCGTCGTCAAAAAATATAGAAAATTTGAACCCAACGAAAATTACACACTGTACAGTATTCATGTTTTATCTATGTTATTGTGTCATTAAAGATAGAATATGGTAGATTTCTGGTGATTTTATTGTAAAGTTAATTAATTTTCTAATTATCCATACTGTACTCTGGTAAACATTTGGAATACCTCATACCAGATAATATAACTGCAACTGAATTTTGATCATTTTGATACCTATAATAAAACAAAGCTTGACAATGATAATAGAAAACAAGGCCTTGTCTAATTAAAATAAAACTCATCTTGTTTTTCTCCTCAAGCTCATAGCCAATCAATAAAAGATTAAGTACGAACATTGAAGAGCCAATCCACTGAGGGTTTAGGGTTTCCATCAACTTCACAGGTCAGATTAAATCCCTGGCCAGCCAACACCACCTGATCCTCAGGGATCTGGATGAAGAATGGAGTAGCTGGAATAAAAGAAGAAAACATTGTCACATATACACTTCACAGGGCAAAACAGATTTTAATATCACTGGTAATGTACATTAATTTTTCACATCATTCAATTTAAAAAAAACGATCAGAGAGCTTTTGATTTTTTGCTAACAGCAATCAATTCTATAATACGACTTGTGTATATTCCATTCAGTGATATATTTAATGTGTATGACATGAACCACCTCTCAAACTGTTTTTTTTTCTATCAAGTTCAATTTTAAACCTACTTTGACCAAAGCAAACATTCTAATCCTATACAATATGAAGCACCTTAGACCGAATGTGCATTTTTACCATGAACTATAACAGGTATCTTCATTAACTAATATTCTTCCACAATACAAAAACCTATTACATCATTTGAAAAGATTTATCTATATATATCTGCTGCATACCATTAAGATAGAAAGTTTATACTTCACAAACAGTATATTTCATACAGAAGATTTATAACAAGAACATATTTCAAAATGATTTAACAAGTATTAAAACAGAATTTTACAGCTGGCCTGAAGGGAATATGATTACTGACTGGATTGTTTACCTAAAACAACTAGTTCAGCCTGTGATGTTGCCTCTCCAGCCTCATTGGTTGCTTGGCAACCATAAAACCCAGCATCAGCAATCATTACATCATGAATAATGAGGCCATCATCCACGGGTGAAAAACGTTCACTAGGTGTCAGCAATACAGAGTCTGAAAAATCAAAACACATCATTAACAAATGCTGTTTGTGAATCTGATACCAAGAAATAAAATAATGTTCAACACCAAAACTTTAATTTTCTAGGTCAATTTCTGAAATAATTTGAACAGAAGGGAAGAATTTCTAAAACAGTTAATTTACTATCAAGTAAACACAACCAGTAAAGTTGCACAGTAATTCTGTTAAAAAGACAGCTTAAACAAGACCTTCAACAAATTACAGTCCTCCATCAAATGCAAAATTACATGCCATGGGTTTCTCTGCATACATGATGAATTTGTACGGAACTTATTCTGGACACTGAATATTTGACAGATACATCATATATATGGAAAGACATGGAGTGACAGACAAAAGGATGGACGGTCAAGGCAGCGACTATATGTTCCTTGGAATGGAAAATTTCCAGGTAGCATAATAAAAACCTATCTAAATATTCAAATGTTGATTTCAAAACATAGGAACATCAATTACCTTTGTACCATACTACAGTAGGTTTGGGATCGCCATACACACCACAGGTAAGTTTGACCTCTGACCCAGCCTTGGCTGTGAGATTAGCTACTGGATTGGTAATTACAACAGGAACTGTAAAATATTAATATCGATATGATTAAAAATTTCATTTACTTACCAATTTGTTATAGAAAACCATGAAACTCATTTTGTTATCAAAACCTTTCATTGATTTTCAATAATAAAAAATAGTAATAAACCAAATTAAACCAAAATTGACCATGGTTTCAGTCCGAGAACGATCCAAGGTCAATCATATTCTAATAAACTCTATATAAACTTGAATATATTTATATACATACATGAATTATAACTATGCTTAAATATGATTTCAAGCACTGTGGTTCTAGAGAAGAAGTTGTTTGTACTTTTTGACACTTTTGACCCCTATGGAATAACATTTGTAGTAGGTAACACATGTTACATCACAATTCAAATATAACTTGCCAAATTTCGAAAGGCATGGTAAAAACATTTCATTTACCTAAGACTCTAACATAGGCATCTGTTTCCCTAACTCCATAACTGTTACTGGACCTACAGGTGTAGGTGCCCTCATAAGCTTTGTTGATGTCTGCTATGTGTATCTCTTGGTAATTACGACTGAAAAGCAAAACACAATATATAAGACAGTCCAGTATACCAGTTACACCTTACGAAAAATAAGGTTCACCCATGAAAGCTTGTTTATTAAATTCAGTGATTGTGACCATAAGCATCAAAAACTTACATCTTGGTATCTCTTTATGAAGAAATGTCTTATTGTTTTCAATGATGTTAAATGCATATGCCGGCCATGGGTTTCTGAAAAATCTTTTCTTTTCAAGATATTTTGTGTCCTTGACCATTGTTTAAAATTCATTTTTGTCCTGTTTAATTCTGTTACAGTAACTATTCTTACGTAAAAGTCACTTGACTGTTAGGAACTACATTGATGCGGTCCTGTAGCCAACGGATCTCTGGAAAGGGGTCACCTTCAACCAAGCAGGTCAAAGTCACACCTTCACCCTTGATGACAGTCACACCAATCGGAGGCTGAAGGAAGATTGGAGCACCTGCACACAGAAATATATCTACATAACAACAGGTAAGGCATATTGTAATGACCAGAAAAATACTTTACAAGAAACTTGAACCTTAATTCAGAAGTATTTTGTTTATTTATTTTGTTAGCTACGTAAAGTAAAGCTTAATCACAACTACATCTTTGGAAAGGTTTCTTAGTAAAGGGGTTCATACATCCTCAATTCTCCAGGAGTTACACTTACCATTGCTCTCTGCACCTCAGGAACATATGTCAAAATTGAAGGCACAAGCCAAGTAATTTGATTGTTCTAGAGTGGGTCCTATGAGAAAAAATCTGACCTATCACAGGCTGATACGCTCCTTTGAAGATTAAAAAGGAGTGGCGCCCAACTTCATAGCCGGCATCATACTGTTATGCAACCTTGAGATTAGTTTGATGTACATCAAAGAATCAAACAAGTCTCAAGGAGTCGCACATGAAACCTTCAATTTTGCCATGACATGTTCCTAAGGTAAAGAGAGTGATAGAGAGCATAACCCTGGAGTGTCTAGGATGACAATCACATGAGATTCATTGTTCCATTTTGAGTAATAATAATTTTGTAGATTATATATATACAAGCAGAACAAATTAATGAAAATTTCTACAAGTTTAAAATGTAATCTGCACAGCGAAAATCATGACTTGGTGCTTACCTCCTATACTTATCACAGCAGTACTCGACGTTCTTGTTGTAGGTACTGAATAGTTATTAGAAGCTACACAAAAGTACTCTCCTTCATCTGGTTTCTGGACTTCAGCAAAGAAAAGATCCCACACATTGTTGGCTGGGTCAACAATGAACACAGCCTGCTGTCCAGTTCGGTACACCACTGGTTTGTTGTTTTTATACCAGCTGACTGTGGCGAGGGGATAACTCCGAGGTGGACTGCAAGGCAGAGTCTGAGATTGGCCTGCTATAGTGAACACACGATACGGCTCGCTCACAAACTCCATTTCTATAACTGGATAGATGAGAAAAGCACACTTTTAAACAAGAAGGGTAATTTACCAAATCTGATTTTAAAATTTTATTTAGTGTATATTTCTTACAAATCTGCTTTCCCCTTATCACGATCAATAACCTACTATTTTGAATTTTAATGACATATTTGCACTACATCAATATACAAAGAAGACTTAGTTTAACATTTTTCTGGACCCCTATGTGCTTAATAACAAGAGGGCAATGCAAGGGCCTAAATGGTCACCTGATTAATCTCAACTAAACATGTTGTCAAACTCATCCAAGATCTTATTGATAAACGGCTGCATAAAAAAATCATCAAAATCTGTTCATGTCTACTCAAATTATCATGTTCACCAGGTTCAATAGTGACAAAAATGCAAATGACCAAAGCTCAGTTAAAATTGAATCAGTTCCATAGTCCAACTCATCTGAAATTAAATTCATAAAATGAGGCATACAATGTTTCATCAAAATCTGCAAAAAGCCATAACTCTGTAAATTATGACCAAATCAATCCCATTGTCAACTTATTCAAAAACTTATTGATACATGGGTGCATACCATATTTCATCTACCTAATTATAATTTGTTCATACCTGTATTTACTCATTACAGCAAGTTATCTAGCTATTCACAAGGTCCATTATAATAAAACAGCAAAGGGTCATACATGTAACTCTGCTTATTATTAAATTCATCTTCAATAGAAGAATACATACAAAGTTTCATCAAATCTGGTTCAAAGCCCAATTTTAAAGGACCATAACTCTGTATAGTACAAATGGATTGGTCCCATTGCCAAACTCATGCGAGACTTTACTGATGTAAATCAGCATACCATGTTTCACCAAATTACGTTCATATTTAATCAAGTTATCATGTTCATAAAATCCAAAGGTAATTATGCTTTAAAGGGCCAAAACTCTTTAAATCATAATTAAATTGGTCTCTTTGTCAAACTCATCTGAGAATATATTGTTATAAGGTTGCATACTAACTTTCATGAAAATTGGTTAAAATATTCATTCAAGTTATTATGTTCTAAAAAGTTTACACATAACCCATGACAAGGGATGAACAACAATTGCTATATGTCAGGTGACCTTAAAACCCTGTGTATTTTGATGAGGCAAAGCTTATTGTAGTCAGTATTTATAATAAGGTCCTTCAATTATTGAAAAACTTTGGTAACAAATATGAACAATGGGTCAATTAGATTACAGAGCAAAAACCAGATAACGGTTTCCATCATTCTGCGATTCCTGAAGTCTGCATGTATGACCTGTGACATGGTATATAAAAAATTAAAAAATAAAAGCACTTCACCAGATATTAATGAATACCAAATTATGTAATTTGTGTAAAAAGTATATAAATTACTATTACTTGGTTTGTATGTAATGACAACAGTGTACAGTCCCAACATCATGCCTTTCAAAACAAAAATAGTACTCCAGGGTGGAGAGAGGAGAACAATTATTGAAAGCTAAAAATGGTGATCAAATGAATATTTTATATAGAAAAGACACTGCACAACTAAAATATGATAAAAAATTGCATATTTGATATTCATATATCATAATATTTGTAACATATTGATTGTGGCAAAATTTACATTTTGTAATACTCACAGGCAGTTCTGACATTGATCATGTCTGACTTTACACTTCCCAGGAAATTCACTCCCTCACAAATGTATGGTCCATCATCCTTCTCCTCAAGATTCACAATATATATACTGCCATTGGGAAACAGTTGGGTATAGTCGGTACTGATAAAGGGGGATCCATTGAACTCCCATGTGATATGTGGGATAGGGTAGCCCCTGATTGGACATACAAGTTGAAGGGGCTGGTTCCGAGGGGCGATGACATTCTCCATGTACAGTGAGCTATCTACATATGGTGCTTTTTCTAAGGCTGCAAAAAACATTGAACTGTTCGTTTGTTTGTTTTCAATCCTATATTTCTTACCATAATAATGTAACTTGTCTTAACAAACAATATTCATATATAAAGGATCATTTACGTTAAGGTAAAAATTTCCATAGTGTTTGCTAAAAACATAACTTACCAACACTTATGTGTTAGCCGCTAAAATTTTTATCAATCAATATATACATATATTCATGTACATATTACACAATATATCTTGCAATATGCATTGGACCAACACTAAGCTTACAAGCTGGGCTTAGAAGGAAGGCATATCTACTGAAATTGAACTAAATGTGGATGGACTTATTACCAGTTATGGGCTTATCACTGGAAATGTATGATACCTAGGTACTTATTAATATTACTGGGTAATATCTTGGTACAGCAATTTGTATTTGGCAATGCTTCACATACTGAAACATCTCACCTTCAACCAGTAAGTTGACTTTCAGTGACCTGACCTCCACACCAAGAGCTGTGTTACGGGCCACACAGTTGTACTCGCCAGTATCATACGATGACGTCTGGATTACAAGTTTCATGGCATACTGGGAGATGACTCCTGGAATACTTGACATCCCAAATACAGAGGTGAACTGATCTCCTTCAAAGAACTGTTTGCCATTTTTCTCCCAGGTGACAACAGGAGCAGGGGCACTCTCACCTGAAAACAAGAACAGAAAATGTAGTATGTGTACTGAGCCTTAAAAGAGCACATGTTAGTGTTCCGCTACATACAGAATCACTACTCTCACACTCAGTGTCATGACACTAAAGTTTCAATAAAACAAATTACGTAATGTATAACAAAATTGCCCAACACCATCAAAATCATTGTATTTCAGTATATGGTCTGACACCTATATTACATACATGTAAATTGTAGCTAGACATACCTGTAACACACTCCAGCTCCACAACTTCTCCTTCTGTTACACTCATTGATGCTGGATTCGTAAGAAAGGTCCGAATAACTGCAGTGGAAAAATATTAGATTCTAAAAATTATTGTCTATGGGAGGCAGGTGTGAGGAAACATTATACATTTTGTAACAATCATACACGATAAATGTTATTGCTGGAAATCTGATTAATCACTCATATTCTGCCTCCAGAAAATAACTCTTCTAGTGACCTAGATATAGGTAAGTGATATATCTCTAATGTATAAGATAAAAAACTTCATCTTAAAATCTGAGATGGTCACAAGTGCTAACATGATTTTTCATACCCACCAACAAAATGGATGATACACAACTAACATCTTCAATACTCCAGGGGTATCATCACTTTCGATCTCTGTACCCATGGAACATTTCATGGCAAATTTGTAGGTTCCATGTGTGACATCATGTTGATAAGATGAGAAGACTTGTTTGATCCTTTAATGAACATGAAATTAATCTTGAGGTATATCAAGTGTATCAATATGGTTAGTTTCTTTACTCTTGAAACCCACTCTAGGCCAATCAAATTACTTTGCTTGTGCCTTCAATTTTGCCATGAAATGTTCCATAGGTGAAGAGATCAAAAGTGATTGTGACCCCTGGAGTATCAGAGATGCACAACTAAAAACCAATGGAAACTTTACATTTATAGACTTAGGTCATTCTCCTGTCATTCATAAACATACAAGTTGTAAATTTTGTAGTTCAAAGTTCTTAAAAATTCAGTATTTGAATGAAAATTAAAATTTTTGTCTTTTTTATGAAATAGGTATTTGATCAGAAGAATAAAGTTGAAAAACATATCAAAAACTTATAAAAGTTGTAAATTAAACTTTATGACTGGCTCATTTTCACATCAAATATAGTTTTAAAAATTACTTGAATGTTTTTTTTAACCAATCATAAAATAACCTGACAACAATGAATAACACCAACATGGAACCATGATCTATACTAGGCAGATTACTGACCCCAATCACACTTCTTGGATAGCTCTGCAAATTGGGTCACATTTTCAAATTTTATCATCTTTTTCTAGAAACCAGTAATCTGATTTTGATCAAATATGATAGAAGAAATGCCTGACAAAACTTTCAGCAAAATATTAGGCTTCTTACTGAAAAGTCTTAGAATGGCTCAAATTGGAACCCCTCCTCTAATAAAGACGAAATTGATACTTTTTGATATTGGAAAAGTAAAATTTAAGTTTGTGAATTAGTTTTATGGTTTAGAATTTGATAAGCTAAAGACAATAATTAATGAGATATCATTTGAGTGATTACAGTTATTTTTAAATCTTTCAGAAAATAATGTGTGTGTTTTTTATGCAAAACTGACAATGATAAGTTAGTGTTAGTTTGTATATAAATTGGCCACAGTTACTCAGGAAAAAATCTATCTAGCATCCTCACATGTAAGTGATCAAAATATACAATATCTTTTGCCAGAATAGACTTGTAAATTTCACAAAAATTAGAAACTTTGCTCTATCTACCAACATGGGAATCATTTTGATGTTATCAGGACAGCTGGCAGAGGAAATGCAGTCTTCTAGGGTGTGCCACTTAAAATTTTATTATGAGGTCATATGTTAGCATGCTTAGATCTATAACTAATGATACGGCAGATGGAATTGCTCCCCCGATAGTCACAAACCTACTGCTAACAGTTGTTAGATCAATACCTACACTTCACGCTCCAAATTGACCTGGCTTCATGTCGGAATTCCATGTTCCTAATTTCAGAAACACACATGGTGATAGTTGTTACGTCTGTTTTTTTCTTTGGCTAAAATTTCGTCCTGTTTTAAATGTCTATAGAATTGCTTTGGTGTAGATTACAATAAATCACCAGGTTGTATAGCTTCTTTTTGCCCTCTTTGTGATTTTTACTTGTAGCTTTAGCAAGTAACTTTAAGATATATATAAGTAGTCTAAGAATAAAGAGTAAATCCTCATCAATTTATAATACATAAGAAAATGATTAAGTTAACAGTATATCTGGAAATCAATATTAGTATTACTGTGTTTAAATATCTGTGATGGGTTCCGGCACTTAGAACACCTCATGGGAATTTTGAAATTTTGATGTTAGAAATTTAGAGAATTAATGAATTGATTATAATTTATAATTTTAGTCATCAGTTTCTGGTCTAATTGTTAATAACTCAACAACTATGCTAATGATTTCAACCTGATCATACAGTTACCTGAATTTATTCCTTAAGGGTGGTGATGTTAAGACTTTATTAAACGAGGAATTCACATCAAAAGCAGTCAAGATAAAGAGATCTTCATCTCCATGTCATTGTCGGGAAAATGAGCTCAAGGAACATTTATATTAATTACATATTTATTGATAAGAACATTAATTAATTATATGTATTGCTACTCAATTATAAGTTCCTAAAGAAATGTCCAGCATTACTTGGTGCTATAACATCTACAGGTAAATATCGCTTGAATGTAAGGAAGAATGGTTACCAGTAGATATATTTTGTAGCTAGGCACAAATCTAATATAAGTATTAGCTCTGGGCACTAATCAAGTGAAGAGAGTTTGGCATGAGTAAGGAATTATTTATATCATGACACTCCCCAATATTTTATTAAAAGGAGAGAGAACCATTGTACCAGAATGTGTTGCATATGGAATATGTTTTTTAATTGATATTTTGATGTAAGTCTTATATTTGATACAAGGTATGATGCAAGTGTCCCAGAGGAAGATGTTTGTTTTGACACCCTCACAACAACTAAATATAAAAACCTATACACTCCCATTAAAGATCAAGCATGTATTCAAAGACAGATGCATATGATTTTAAAGCAAGTTCTTGCTAGTTCACTTATCTAGTAATTAAATCTTGAACATGAAATGAACAACATGAAACCAAAACTTTCATTGGAATTAGCTGTTTTACCGCCCTAAATAGCCCTGCACAATGAAAAAAATTCTAAAGAATGAAAATACCAGATATAGTCATGTACTGACGTTTACCTTGGGAATCCAAGACAGATAACCGATTGATTACTTGCAAATCCAATTAAGAACAGGTAAAATCATGTATCTGTATGCCTAAAGCCCACTTTGCCTCAGGTAATGAGTAAGCTTGTACAGACAAACATATGGGTGGGGACATACATCTGTTAATATTTGATGAGATGTACTTCATTAACAGTGGGAGTATTCACATTGACCTGATGGTTGGGTGTGGCAATGTTATTGTAGTTCTTGTAATATTGTGTGTAACAGCTGGGTTTGAGAGAATTTTCCGACATGTCTTTCGTGACCTCTGATGTACAATCTACATATTTGTTATATACACTGTATCTTGATAATCTCAAACATTTTCTACTTTCTCCATATCTTGACAATCTGAAGCATTTTCTACTTTCTCCATATCTCGACAATCTAAACCATTTTCTACTTTCTTCATATCTTGACAATCTGAAGCATTTTCTACTTTCTTCATATCTTGACAATCTGAAGCATTTTCTACTTTCTCTATCTCTAAATCCTGTATGACCTCATTCTGTTAATGGACCATAAAGTCATATCTTTAATAGTTAATTTTTTTCCTGGCATGACCTCAAGTTACAGTAGAAGTTAATTGGCAAATAGGCCAGCATGTAAGACCTTGAAGTATTGTCAGACTAAGGCATGTTGTTACCTTAAGTGTTGATGGGCCAATAGGCAAGCTTGTTGCCTTGTATGACCTTACAGTGTTGATGTGCCTATAGGGTAGCTTGTTGCCTTGTATGACCTTACAGTGTTGAGGAGCCTTTAAGATAGCTTGTTGCCTTGTGTGACCTTACAGTATTGATGAGCCTATAAGATAGCTTGTTGCCTTGTATGACCTTACAGTGTTGATGAGCCTATAACATAGCTTGTTGCCTTGTGTGACCTTACAGTGTTGATGAGCCTATAAGATAGCTTGTTGCCTTGTGTGACCTTACAGTGTTGATGAGCCTATAAGATAGCTTATAGCCTTGTGTGACCTTACAGTGTTGCGGAGCCTATAAGATAGCTTGTTGCCTTGTATGACCTTACAGTGTTGAGGAGCCTATAAGATAGCTTGTTGCCTTGTATGACCTTACAGTGTTGAGGAGCCTATAAGATAGCTGGTTGCCTTGTATTACCTTACAGTGTTGATGAGCCTATAAGATAGCTTGTTGCCTTGTATGAATTTGTAGCATTGGTGGGCCAATAACATGGTCAGCTTATCTTGTTCATGAACAATTAGTTAACTAGGTGTATTGCATGACTTGGCAGACGAGGTTTGACCTCAGAATTGATTTGTTGCTGTTTCCAGTTAGTATATCAATGAAGCAGTCAAGACAAGGCCTACTATGGTTTAACCTTTCACCAATCTGGTCTTGATCTGTTTCATATATTAGTCAGCACAAAGAGCACACAACCACATAAGGTTAAAACCAATCTGTTACTGTGTCACATCACATAAACATTTAACCTTTGATCCTTTGCTCTGACCTTGACCTTTCCTGTACCTAAAAAAAAACATGTATAAATGTGCATGTGCTCTTGTTTGTTACATCTGCATATTTTCATATGAAACATTGAGAGATTCAGATTGAAAGATCAATACAGGAGATTAGGATATAATATAGCATTACAACAAAACATCAGTTCTACACTCAAATTTCATTTGGGATCTGTGCATTACAAGTACTGATAAGGAGGTTTTAATAAAGCACATGCCCAATGGACAAGTGATATTTATGAAAAGGGGTTTTGTATCCTGACTCCATGTCAACACTAATCTCTGAGGAAATTATAAAGTCACAAAACACATGGACAGCACAGTATTTATTTTCAAGGAAGATCATGCAATTATAGGTAATCCAGGATATTTGATATTTTTGTATGATACATTTTTTTTCTATATCTAACATGAAAAATCCATTCCCGTGACTGGAGTAAATGAGTAAGTGCTGTAATAAATGTCAAAGAAATATTGCACATTGTTTACACATGATTGATTACATTGTTCTACTGTGACAACACAGACAACCTGTGTGACCTTGACAAAGCAACATTCAAATCCCTTACCTTTCATAAAATACCAGGAAATAATTAATCATGACAACAAATGGCAGTCATAGTAGAAACTTAAAGTGTTCACCTGAATACAACACTACCAAAAACAGTATAAAGGAATAAATCTCATTGTTAGGATTGTATGATTTTTAAGACAATTGCTCAATTTTCAAAAGTGCTATATTTAGAACACTCTGAAATTTTATGAGAACATTTGTAAGGAGAAATATGTGCTAACATTTCAAAATCTTGCTCAAACAAGTATGCATGTGTGTCCTTACTAGCAAGATTCCAAAGTGGTGTCCAGATTAAATCAGGCATAAGAAAACAAATACACTTAAATCAACTGTCTACACAGATTTAAATACTTAGGTACAAAACATAAGAGGAACAATGGGCCTGCATCACTCAACTGATATATGTATATATATACAAGCCAAATATCATGCCTCTAAGCCTTTCAGTTCAAAAGAAAAAGTTGTTTAAAGGTTTTAACATATCTGACTCCTGTGACCTTAAATAGAGGTCAAGGTAATTTATTTTCACAAACTTTGTTGGACTTCATCCTAGGAACATATCGGCCAAATATTGTACTTCAAGACCTTTAAAGCGGCCATTACCTTAGATTTCAGCATCGGAAAATGGAAAATTCAGCTTATGAATAATAAAATATATCCATAATAAAGCAATACACGCACCTATAACGTCAAATTTGCTGTTTTTGTACATATTTTCAGCGTCTGAACATTGTTTATCTTGACTATTGTTTATAAACATGTTCACGCTCGGTTTATAACGAAGAGAGCCGAGTGGGTCACATGGCTTGTTATGTGACAAAGTCATTTACTTTCACCCCAAAGAAAAAATGGCTTATGGGGGAAGTGTAAACAAACGCACATGTCTTATGTACGACACTTGCTTTTGCGCCTTTCTGCTAATTCTTGTTTGCAGTAAATGATTCTATAGTGTTATAATATATACTTTTTTACAATCAATTTCAGTAATTTGTTTTGTTTTGGCTTGTCGTGCGAGAATTATCTATGTCAATCACAGGCGCTAAACTAGTGAGGCCCCAAAGGGGTTAATTACACTGGATATTGGGTTATACGTTATAATCATAGGACTGACGTTCAGCTAACCAATCAAGCAGCAGCTTTGCAAATTCCAAATCCGAATTCAGTCCAAGATCCTCCTTCATCTTTCGCCATCTATCGATCTCCTGTCTTATATAAATTCTTGCCTGTCCTCTTTTCTGGTCTGATGCCTTCCTCTTACACTTTCTGGTACTTTCTGCAAGGTAACTTTTATGGCCTGGTCGCCCTTTCATATTTGCGTCCACTGTATTACTTCTTTTTAAGCTTATATGCATGCGCAGCATCAGGGTTACCAGCGTTAATGTATGTCTTAGATCGCTGTTTACATATTTTTTTTCTCGTAATGTTTTTTAACATTATAGTCGCTTTAAATTCATGAGCAGTTGTTTATATGTTTTAACAAATTTGACCCCTATGACCTTTAAATGTATCAGGTTTATTTCTTTTCGCAAATAGCCAAATATCATGCCTCTAGGCCTTTCAGGCCAGGGAAATAAAACTGCAAAGACATTCATCAATAGTGACAATGATCAGGAAATGAAGTCAAGTCAGACTTTTCAATTAATAAAAACAATATATTAATAAGAACCATACTTACAAGCATGAATGATCACAGCAGGGGGTGAAAGTGCCAAAACAGTTTTCAAATCATCAGACATAACTCCACATGTATAGTTTCCAATTTGTGTTTCACTCAAATCCCGAACCAGCAGGGAGTGATTTGTAAAGATGGAAGACCCAGGGGGACTTGACACAGAGTTAAAGAACCAATAAAATGACAGTTTCTTTGTTGGATCAGTTGTATCCTGGGCATTACAATCCAGTGTCAAATCATTCCCAAACACAACTGCTTTACTGGTCGGTAAAACTGTGAAAACTGAAAATGAAACAACAATTTCTCTTAATATCAGAGACTGTGAAAAGAAAGTCTTTCAATAATTTTAAAAGAGCTTCTTATGCTCAAGTTTGAAGAACCTACTGTAAATATAATATTTTTCTCCTAGCTGTGTAATTCACTTAGTCTGGAGTATCATTTATTTCAACAAATAAATTTTCAAAATTGATTTTGATGTGTTTTGTGAGTTTTATTACTTATTGGTTCTGATACTTAAGTTCCACCCAACAATCAATGAACCAGTTTTATCTAAAATTATCTCTCTTTAATCTATTTGGTTGATGTAGATAGCATTTATACAATAATAATTGTACATAACATATCTGGATAGTTCTTGGTCCCATCACAACTACATTAATGAACCTTGTAAAATAACTCTGAAACCAAAGTGAACATTACATTTCAGTTTTATCTTGATTTAAAAAGAAATTAATAATAACTGATTTGAAACTTACTAATTTCTGCTGACACACGACCAGACATGATCAAAGTCAGTATCATCAGTACCTTGTCCATATCAACAGATGTGATCTCTCTGAAACAAACAAAAGTATTCAAAATAAAAATTAAAAAGAGATTGCAATAAGCAAAAAAGACCAGCGCATTACAATTATACATCTAACTAAATGTTAGGAGGTTTCTAATTACATGGACATCAAAAATAGCCTGTTGGTAACAATGATACTCAGCAATAAATATGAGTGAGCTTATTACCAGACAATGTTTGTCTTAAATATCAAATGAATTCTCAGCATCTAAATCCTTTGATACTGAAAAGCATTTATTTCAGATATCCCTGCAAGCTACAAATTAATATAATTCACACTTGTATATTGCACAGAGACATGAGTCTAGTACTCTAAACATTGTTGTTTTGCAGAAGTTGTTTTCGATATCATGTGCATTTAAAGTTCCTGAGAAAAAACTCTATTATATGAAAAATCTATAAAAGATTTGGAAACACTATGAAAAAACATACCTATATTTATAAATAAAGATGAAAAATCATTATTGTACATTTATCAAATACACTTTCATGCTACATGATGTGTAAGAGAAAATCTATAATGCCCACATCTATAAAAGTGATAGACTTCTGTAGCAAAAAATTATTCTCAAACCAAGAAGTAAAGACACAGAGATTTCATATAGGTTTACAATGTGAGGATCACAATATTGATCTATTTCTCTTGTATGGATATTTAGCTTATTTTCATGTATGTCTCCATACACTGTAATGTACATAAATGTTCTCCAAATATTAAACTAATGTAATTGATGAGAAGGAATCAGTGAAGTAATGTATGCATAATTACATTGTGTATATGAATATACATCAAGAGCAGAACGGAGGGCTTTTCTAAACTCGTCATAAGATAGGTTTAAGACAGACTGACTGTACTGGAAATGGTCAGCTAATACACATTTTTATTTGTTTACCTTTCAGGGTTGATGGAGTAACATTTTCTGGTCCATAAAATAATGTCTCCATACATTTATTTAGGAGCAGGTAATTCGATAAAGAATTATGATCATACACCTTTATATACTATGTGAAATTAAAAACATATACTGATTCAAAGTGGTTAATCCAGCATTAAGCATCACTAGCAGAAAAAAAGTCAAACAAAATGGTTAAATTACAATATGCTGCAATAACATTTTATAGGAAATATTAATAGGTTCTCTCCCCATTCATTTGGGAAAGAGCCATTTTATCTTATTTTCGGGAGAAAATGAATCAGTTGGGAAAGAAATTGCAAGCAGTAAACTAACTATATATTTTGTAGATTAATCCATATTATTAAATGTATCCAATTGCATTGGGAATGGGACCCACATTTGGCCCTAAACAGCCCTCAGAAAAAGCTCTGAATTATTTATAATTACAATATAACTAGGCAATCACAGTCATCACGCTCAAACTTTAATTAATGCATCAAATATTTTCTTCAAATCTATTGTTTATGTTTTTAGATATGAGTTCGGAGATTCCTTTCCTGATATTCCTCTGAAATCAATCACAATTAATACCCAAAGAGTAGAATGTGTTGGAGCAACATATATTCAGATTTATGATTCAATTTGTATTTTCTCCCATTATATTTGGCTCCAAATATGTGTTATTTTGTACATGTATCAGGTGGAAATTAAAGACTGGGAAATCAGTGGTACCAAATTAATCAAATCACTACTATGCATTATGTAAAAGAATATATCAGTTGTGTATCTGATGCGTCTGTCGTCAAGTTTAAGATTTAGAATTCTAAGGTACGAAGTCTTTAATTCTCCTGCTTATTGTACAATGGACAGAGATGACAGCGATTAAACCTTTTGTCATCTAGCATGTGTGCTCTATAAAAAAGGCAAAAGGATTGCAGCATTGCTCTCTTAAAAGGTAGATATATAGTATTCAAGAGTAACCAAAAAGGAAGATAAATGGTGCATTTGTAGATTACCATGTCTCATCCACTTCATCGTTAAGTGTATGTATTATTTTGATCTGGCACATTCATATCACCTATTGCTAAATTCTTTACATTGTCTCTTAGAAATGAATTATTACTTAATAGCTCTACGAAGAATCCTCAAAAGTCAGTCAAGGCATGTACATTTTTATACTCGATTGACATGTACCACTTTGAACAACCGAAGTCTGAATTAGGGAAAAATCAATATTTTCGATAGGAACTTACCTCAATATTTGTTATCTGTTTCTATTTCACTTCCGTGACAGCTCGCCTTTACAGCATATCTGATGTTAGCAATGCCATCTGTTGAATAGGACAGTTGCGATTTATCACATAGTTTCTTGTGTAAACCTCAGTACAATGACAGACTATGGAATTCGAATTGGCATTCAACAACAGTTCAACAGATCACAGCTCATGATCATCACTCATCCGCGCCAAACGATTGCCAGTATGTGCCCATTACAAACGGAACTCGAAATATCCAATCCTTCGCAACATCACGGAACTTCTTCTGTAAGATTGCCTGCTTTCCGTGACTTAGTAAAGTAAGGAAGCAAAAATCGATGAGATGTTGAAAATTTAATGCAGACGATGTGAAGTAAACATCGTTATCCACCCCACTAGACTTTTACTGTTTTCCACAAGAAGAAGACTCTTTCGAAGGGAGGTTACTCCAGCAACACAAACAGTTAATAATCTTTGCAAAGGGAGCTAACTCCTTTCGGTTTGTTACATGGTAATCGATGTTCCTAAATCTTAAGGAAGAATTTAGCGAATCTTAACATTTGAAGACATTGAAGTACAAAGGAACGTTTGTAAAATTGTTGTTTACCTGTGTACATGTAGTATATAGTTAACAAGCCAACATGGTGTTCGAGTGGTCAACCTTTTGCTTAATTACTGCCATTTCTCGATATTATGTACATCTCTGTTTCCCACATCTTCTGGTATTTATTTGTTGTAATAGATTGAGCGGTCTAAGGCCTTCCGAAATACTATAATTTTGGTATATTTATAAATAAATAAAAGTATACTTTTAGCTGTGTAAACTTCAACCCATACTACCCCACAGTTAGTTTGCGAACTTCTGTTCTGTGTTTTTACTGGAACGTTGTATTTGTTACCAATAACACCTCTTCCTCTCTATTTCATGGAAACAGACAAATTTCTGTCGCTGCTGAAAATGTTGAAATGATCAGAGTCGAATAGCTCACCACTAACAACATCATGTAACCATGTCTCCGTCAAAGCTCTAATGTCAAAGTCTGAAGGACAGAAGTTAGTGTCTTGTCCTGTTGTATATCGATTGATATTGTTGCATCTCCATTAAATCACGCTTATGAGTTTTAATAGTTTTATAGTTAATTACAACTTACAATGTAAACATGGGACCCAATGGACCTCGGCTGTACCCCCTAGAAAACTGCTGCGGATGTGACCTTTTGAAACCTTGAATTGAGCATTGAACAAATCAATCTCTCAGATATTAAAGCATATAGACCTTCAAACAACTTCCTAAAACTTTATATTTATATTGAATTTATTTACAAGAAGTCGAATACTCCTGACACAAATGGCATTTAAATCTTTAATTTTGTAAACCTAATCCTCTGTATCGATCTCTACAATTCTCTAACAAAACGTTGATACAGTCTTTTAGTAACGAGCCATTTGTATGGAGTTTACCGAATTATATCTGTATTTTCAGCATCACATGTCCAAATTGGAACCCTATGAAGGTACACAGGTATTTCCCTTTTTTCTCTTCTCACGTGTATTGCCTCTTTTCTCCTCTCAAATGGGTAGCGGCTTCCCTTGCGTTTTTGAAGCTGATAGTTTTCGAGTTAGCAGGGAGCACACACTAGATGAATCTCGCTTGGACATTTGAAATTTTGCCTTGATTTTTCTCCATCTAAGGAGACAAAAAAATGGCAGTTACTTGCTGCAGACAATCAGGTTTCCTTCACCTTTCCAACCGACCTAGCCGTACCAACATGTGGAACGGACAATATACTCAAAATATTACTTATAATAAGTAAATTTAGTAGTTAATGTGAAATAAAAAGTCCATCTTCAGAAGACGAACGTCCGTAAGCAAGCTAAGTAAGCGTCTTCTGCACCCTCAATGTCCCCGTAATTAAATTTCGGTCATTCCATGTAAGTAATATCACGTTCTCAAATGAGAACAAGGTAAACGACAATTGCAACAAGTATACTACCGAGCATCAAACACATGCAACTTCATATGGCACGTGGAAATGGAATATTTCTCTGCGTTATAACGACAGTAAACCCCCCCCCCCCCCCCCCCCCCCTTGGTGTTTACGATGGACATCGTCTATAAGTGTCTTGTTATTTAAAAATAAGACATCGCCATTATATCTTTGTGACCAATTTAGATTATCACTTCGATAATTTTAGTCTTTTATGAAAACAAAAACCAGTGGTCCAAAAGAGCTTTCCTGAAGTTCACCTCTTTTTGTAAGGCAGTCAATTGACCATTTGAAATCTGCATTAACAAGCTTCTTTACTGAGTTTATGTTCTTTGATAAATATGGATGTCGTTCTTTCGTCAAAATTTGCCTATCCATTCTACTATTTCTTCTCGATCGATTAAGCGCCACCTGTGCATTCAGAGCGGAAGTAAAAAAAAAGAAAAACCTGTCTCCCAGAGATGATTATTTTCTCATTTAGTAATGATTCATGATTTCCTATCATTTTCTAAATATAATGCGTTCATTTTTCTTTTTTTCATCGGGCACGTTTAAGATGATATAATCCGTGACCTTGCTTTCAAAATGAAAGCCTACTTTTTGCGATCAGAAGTGTAACATACACAGATGATAAAAACATGGTGCATTTCTACTGATGTTTTTCAATTCCATTTTTAATTCCAGCCGTTTGGTATCAGATATATTTCTGTTTCGTCTAATGCTACAATATCGTCGTTGTTTGTGACCTTACACGATAGCTATTTAACCTCTAACTATAGGATCATACATCTTCAGTCCCAGGATGAAATGGCACGTATTGTACCATAAAGATATTGTATCTGTCAGATTTAAATGCATGTGGTCTTGAATACAAGCAATACCCGACTCCGGGTGGTAGTTGCAGCTACCGTTTTGGATATGATGAATTTGTGCCGTTTCAATACCTGTTATATCAAGTCGAATATCAGCTTTGAATATTCCAATATATTTGATATCACTGCGGTAATTATAATCAGTTCATTGCCAATAGATAAGCGAAGAAATGTTCATTATGTGTCTCATTCTACATCAGAGACATTCTAAAAATGAAACGTATGTTCCAGTTGGCAATATTTATAATAAGACAAAAGCTAAAACATCATGTTGATGATTCTTTGGCAACGACAGACTCTACCTATAATAAGAATTCGAAGACGCCAATACAAAAATAACATTTATTGGAAAATGCATTGAAATTAGAACATCCGACATTCTTGTTGAACAAGACTGATGGTAATCGGTGACATCACTGGATATAGCAATACTGACTGGTTTAATGGTACCGCGCACACAATGAAAAGACTGAAAGCTCATCCCAGCATGCACAATTTCCCAAAAATGCTAATTCAGCCAATTTGTTAGGGTTACTTACAAATAGGTCGAATTCACTCTGTCAATCTAGTGACTATGTCAATCTTACCATTTCAGTTTATCAACTTACAGACCAGATCGATCGATTTTACATGGTAAATAGAAGCTCCGAAGTTTGAACCTCGTAAATTCGAATTTACTTACAAAGTCCTAGAATTTTATTTCCATGAAATAAATTTCAATTTAGTTATTTTAAACAGCTTGACACTGGATTGGACAAATATTGACATTTGAAATATTGGCTCAAACAAACTTAACTCTTCTTTGAGCCACCGACCCAAGAATGAAAGGTTGTAAAACACTTCTACGTACATATATTTAATTAATTTATTTATTTATCATCAATAGATTATGTATTTATTTTAGAATTTATAAAAGGGAAGTTGATATCTCAAGTTT